GAAATTTTTTAATTTGTCCGAAAAATTTCAGCATCTACTCGATTTTTTTTCTCGAAAATGGGTAGGATTTCAGGGGTATGTGTATTCACAAGAAATGATTGTAATTGACCCCCGCAATCGAAAATAATTTTTTTAGAACAATTTGAAATTTTTTAATTACGCCGAAAAATTTCAGCACTTACTTGATTTTTTTTCTCGAAAGTGCGTAAGATTTCGGGGGTATGTCTGTTCGCCAAAAATGATTGCAATTGACCCCTGCAATCAAATAAATTTTTCCAGAACGATTTGAAATTTTTTTTTTCCGTCGAAAAATTTCATACCTTCTCGAATTTTTTGCTAGAAAGTGGCTACGATTTCGGGGGTATGTCTACTCGCCAAAAATGATTGTAATTGACCCCCGTAACCGAAAATAATTTTTCCAGAACGATTTGAAATTTTTTTCCCCGTTGAAAAATTTCACTCCTCGAATTTTTTTGTGGTCGAACACCCTGAGTAGAAAATGAATAATTAGCTCAGATAGTTATGAACGTTGTCCCTAACTTCTATTTTGTAATTGAGCGGGGTATACTTCGGCGTTTGTAATAATCTGATCGATAAACAGCTTCTTCGAGACTCTGTAATGGAATGGCGGAGGAATTCGAAAATTCTCAGTGAGAACTCTTAACCGACGTTTTTCACAAACGTGCTGACGTGGATCGTGTGCACTCAATGCATGCGTGCATAGATGCGTGTGTATCGATCGACTCTGCCTACCTGTGGAGGAAAAAAGGGAAAAGGAAAGAGGAAAGAGACGAGTCGGTTGAATAAGGGTGTAAGTATGTGTATGCATCGCATGCGTGCGTCAACACGCTTGCATCTTGTAGCGATGGCTTCAAATCGTTGCTCAAAATTACGAGTTCCAAAGATGCATCGATATTTTCGATTTAGGTATTAGGAGATCTCGAGTAACACTGGTCAACAAATTATAAACGATTACAGAATAATTTGTATTTTTTATGACTACGCTATCTTTCTCTTTATTTATGTATACTGAGATAGGAAATAATAGAAAAAAAATAATTTGATTCTGGTTTAATAAACATGAGGCATGATTTATTTCATTCAAGTGCAGTAGATTAAAATATGCATATATTGAAATAAAACGCATGTTATGTAATCATAAATTTACTAAAATAATGGAGTTGAAAGTATTACTTTTGCATGCGTTTAACTTTGCTTAGTGTCTTTTGCGTTTAGTTTCCAGCAATAGTTTGCTAAAATTGCAAATCAGGTAAAAGGCTTTTAGGAGGCAAAAATGATTCTTTTTAGGTATTACAAAATTTCCACTTTTAGTTAGCGTTTTAGAAAAACTAAAGTTACTATTTTAATTTAATCATAACAAGGATTAGAATTTTTCATTTTTTTCAAAAGAAGTTTCAAAAAATTGTTCTTAACGATATCAATTATTTGAAATTAGATGTGCAAAATAATACGTTAAATAAATAAATTAGGAGATCTTTCCTAGCTACATGCTTAGTTTTCCTCTGGGTATCACTAAGTAATTCAATTATTCCCAGCCATATCAGACCATATAGATAAAATATCCCTTAAACAAAATCCAACTAATGAAGTACTTTAGAAATTAACGTGTTCTTTATAAAACAATTGATTGTTTACTCGGATGATTTTAACGCTCGTCGTATAACAATAATTCGTCGAATAACAAAAATTAATTTAATATTCAGGATTTAATATTATTTATTTATTTCCATCCCGTTCAAATAAATTGATTTTAGTTTCATCCGAGAATATCATCTTATTCTGAACATTTTTGGCACAATTTACAAATGCTTTCGCAAATTCTAAGCGTTTTCGCCTATTTACGTTATAGACACATGGTTTCTTCCGCGCAGTTCTACAATGAGATACTTATTTCTTTAATCCTTTCGATATTTCCATGTCTTTCGCCAATATGCTTCCATTATACGGATATTCAAATCGTGAATACGACGTTTGATGCAAATACACACATCACCGCGGATAAAGTGTAAACCACACCGCATGATAACCTTTTGTGGATACAAGGATCGCTCGACTATTGACCGAGGATTAACATCTCCCTAAATCCGACAATTCTGCTTATCGACAAAGCCATTCATCCAAACGTGAGTTTCATTTTCCCAAATTGTTCAAAATTAGGATCCAAGCCCAATCAGCAAACTCACGATGCATACGAATGATCAGCAGGCTTCTTCAGCCAACTGAATCTTGTAAGGACGAAGACGTAAGACTACTAAGAATTCGTCACACAGAAGTCTGAGGAATGCTTAATTCATAAGTACGTCGCTGAATCGATGAATTTGAATTTTCAGCAACACTTTCCCTTAACGGTAGCAATATTTCCTTCGCTTCTTGGACCACGTTGACGCATTCAAACGTATTGATCAACAACTGAACAATAGCTCCGAATTTTAACGAATTTGAAACGTTGTTCGAATTGGACAAAGCAAATCACAAATATGTCAGCTATGATGATTGAATGAGTTCTGTTGCTCTTATTGGAAAATCTTAATCTCGCGAAAGTCGTCGAAAATATCAAAATAATAAAGCCGATTGCTTCAACGAACGATGAAATAATTTGTTGATGCATAAGCCCGAGCAACTAAAATCCAAATCTGACCCCCATTGCCCTCAGGAACTCCGGTACCTGGGGCAGCCATTTTACTCGGTATTCTCCGAGACGTTGAAAAATTTTCACCTATCGTTTTTAAATTCCTCGCTGCCGATCAATTTGTTCGAGGAACAGCAACATTGGGCGAGAATCGAACACCCATCGCTACGGCCGTGTGTGCAGGTTCTGCATGTGTAAAAGGCAACCTTCTCCTCGCATCGTGGAGGGGGCAGACGACGGGACGAGGCGGATGAATGAATGAATCTTAAGACAGTCGTGTAAGAGGGGCATTCACGAATCCACGGGTTCTTTTCAGGAACGTGTCTCTTCCTCTGGCAAAAGAGAAAGAGAGGAACAGTGGTTGTCTCCGGCGTGTTTCCGCGGGATCCGCGTGCATCGCGTAATCGTTAGCGTCGATTATGGTTCTCGTTCCTGCGATCCTCGACTCCGTTTTCGATTCCCGACCATCAGGATCACCACGCGTGCCTCGTCGACACCTAACCGAGACTTAACGCCGATCGTATCCTCGAGACCGCGTTCGATTCTGATCGTCGGTCGTGGACATCATGGAGGCTGCTTTCTTCGGCGAAAAGAAGATCCCTGGATGGACACGGTCCCGATGATCCGCCTCGCCGCGAACAGGACGATCGTGTTATCGACGTCGTGCACCGATTCGAGCCAGTGATACGCGTTACCTTTCGCCAAGGAACCAGTCGCGGCCCGAAACTCGAGGAATTTTGCGGTGCTCGCTGTTCTCCGAGTTCTGCTTTTGGCAGAATTCGCTGGTTTCACTCTCGTTCCGACCGAAGGTCGCGAGCATGGAGGTCTCGTCCAGGAGAAGCTGTTTCTGGCAACCGTGGCTCAACACGGAGAACCTCCGACCGGTGTACAGGCCGGGTGGTACGTGGTAGTCTCAGTGTTTCGTCCGCGAACAATTGTTTTCGATTGTTTTTGGTTGCCAGTCGTTTGTTACTTTTAAAATTGTTTTTTTTTTTTCTACGATCGACACGGAGGACCGTGAGTCAAGTCCGGGCCTACCGGTGTGTCTCGTTAGCGACATCGTGGCGTGGTATACAATCGAGGAATTTTGTGAAACGTTAGGAAAAGAATTCGGGAAGTTAATTGAACGGAACGATTGCGTAGCATGGCCCATTCATCTTTTCCCTGCTTTGTACCTCGTCCTTTGCCTTTAAACCAGTTTGACCGTCTTCCTGACGATCCTCTCACGGCTATTAGGCACTTCCTGCCCCGACCTGGGAACCGGACTCGTCTCTAGCACCCCTTCTCGTCCTTCTTGTCTACTCTTTCGCCTCCTCTCGATCCTTCCGAGGGTTGTCGTTAGATCGATTTCCAATTTTAGATATCACGGCGAACGGAAATAGCTGACCTCTGATATTTTATAAATAACTATTGATAGCGGAGACTCCGAGAATGCACTTTTCTATCTATACGTTTTGCACTAGAAATTCAACTTTTTTTTTTTATATTCAAATTCGCCCTTTCACAAATCAAGCTCTTTCTGTAAATTCGTTTTCTTGTTCAGAAATTTAAAACAAAAGTAAAGAAAATTTAAACGATCGAACAGCACAGAAGTCGGGCCATTTCTGTGTTTTTTTTCCGAGCTGTGTGTGTCGTAACTTTAATTAAAACACGATATTCCTTTGTTAATAGATCGAAGGCAACCACGTGTAAAAAAAACTTTATTGCTAATTTCAACGAGCCTGCAGACATTTTTTTTTATATAGTATTAATAAAAGCGAACGAGTATTGGAAACATTTATTTTTATTTTTTTGCAGTACATTATAAAAAGCTGATCAACCATTGATTTTCAGGTTTATTTTTAAGTTCACTTGCTTTCTCGTGATGTTATGGGTGTACACTCGTACACGAGAGTAGAACGAATATTCGTACGAACAAATAAAAATGTTTAAAATACAACATTTGACTTTGATATAATTAACCGTTAATAACTTAAAAATTTCTTTACTATCGTTTTAATATCCAATAAACACGTTCGATTTGTGCAAGAAGCGTGAAAATCCATACCGATAGATAGGTGTATAAGATTAATTAATTCTACGTCACAGGAACAGCGACCAAATAATAAAAATAAGAATAGTATGCGTTAGAATAGTGTAAAAATCGACGGTCTGCTCGCTAAAAATTGAGTCGTTGCGTGCGCGTAACGCCTAACAGCAAACGCGTTAAAGAAATTGTGCAGAGGGAGCGTGTGCGGGGTGAAGCCACTGATCTTGGCAATCTCAGCAAGTTTCCGGTACAATGCACAACGCACATCGATCGTTCTTTATACGGACGTGTCTGAAATCGCCATTGTTTTTTTACGAACAGAGGAGAGACCGAAGGCGACAAATCTCCACCGGAAGCCAAGCAGCGCGTGGCGTAAAGAACGCAGGAGGGACCCGATTCAGAGCGAGGCGCTCGACATGTCCGCAGCCAGGGTTCATCATCACCATCATCACAGCAGGCCCAGCGTGATTGTACCCACTACGCCACAGGCTGGTAAGTGGAGAGACGGCTGCAACTAGGTCTCACCGCGAATTCGTTAAGCGCGTTGCGTTGTTCTTGGTCGTAGGGGGGGGGGGAGGAGGGGGTCCGTAGGCCCCTATTGTCCGCCATGAGGGGTGACTACGTCCTCTGACAATGCACCATGATGCACGAGGCGCAGATGCGCGCGTAACCGTGCCCGATAGGAACACGGTTAATCTCTTGTTACGCAGAATTCCATCGTGACCAGCTTCCTGGAACACGAATTGTCCTGTAATGTCCAGGAACTCGGTAGAATTATAACAGACAGGATAAAGTGTTCCTTACGGAAGTCGTAAAGCGACTCGAACGCCAAATTCCTATTGCACCGTCGCGCAGCGGGATATTAACCATGAAAACGTGTCAAAAAAATATTTTTTTACTCGAATCGTTCAGTCACAGAAAGAAATATCCGTACACATGCAATTTTTAAGTCTAGAAATGAACGCTATCGATTTACACAACATTCTAAATGTTAGGAAGTTATATTAACAAAGTATCGCTAAGTAAATAAAAAATAGTTTAAGCTTTTATAATATATTTCACTTTAAAATATCTGTTCAGAAATAAATGTTCCTTTAGAACTTAAAATTGAACTTTTATAACAAAATTAAAGTGTTAAAAGTCAACTTGAAACAGAAAAAAATATTAATGTGTTACATTTTCATTCAAGCCTTGCTCTTGAATTTCCCAAAAACTAGGGTTTACTTTGATAAATGTTTATAGGATTTTTGTGGCACCCGGGCGTATAATACATCTGCTCTGATTCTAAAAACGATTGCATCTACCTTTCTTCTTCTAAGAGTGAAAAATTTCTGTTTACCAGGCACGACGATCGAGGACACTGCTGTGGCTCCTACTCCAACGCTGACGCCATCCGCGGCAGCAGGAGGCCAGAGGACCGGGCTTAGGACCGTGGGCGGCGTAAGCGATCCTGCAATAGACGAACACTTCAAGCGATCGCTAGGGCTAGAGGAGTACGCAGCTGTCTTCAATGCGACCACCACTGACAAGGAAGCTGGTCTCAGTGGTACGACACAGACTATGTTGCAAGATACACTAAGGAGCATAACTGAACCCATAACCACAATAGTTTTACAATGTTTTTATTATATTACAAATATTTTATAAATTTTTGAATCCTATTATTCTAGGATTGATTTTGGTTGGGAATTATATGAATTCTCCATTTTTCTCCATATTTTTTATGCATATAAAACTTACTTTTCATATTATATATTCTTTACAGCAATAAAGTGATATACTAAAAACTTCCTTACATTAGTTCAGTTATGCTCATTAATGTATACAAAAATGGAATCACTGTTTTAATCCTTTGCACTCCAAATTATATTTCAATTTTGTTGCTAGTAGCTCCCAACGCTTTTAAGTGTTTTATTTGAAATTTACGCCAAGTAAAAAATAGGGCAATTGAAACAAATAGAGGAGCAAGCAAATTCAATTAAATATCTATTTTATATAAATTATTGTTGATAAAGGAGTTCCTGAGATAAAAACTGTTGTCGAGTCACACTCGACATAGGAGTGCAACGGGTTAAGCTACGTTTTACGTTGACCAGTGACATGATATTAATACTCAGTACGACAAGCAACCTTTGTATGAATTGAAACGAAATAATCTCTTATTTACGTAACGACCTTATATTCTTATCGCAGTGGACGACCACTTCGCGAAGGCGCTCGGTGAAACCTGGACGAGGCTGCAGGCGACCAGTCGAAGCAAGGATTCCACTTAACTGCGGGACAGTTATCACGAGTTTCCGCTGGGTCTTTGTCGTTGCTGTTGTCTTCGAGGCGCGGTCAATGTTGTTCGAGTACTCGCTGACAAATAGTGTTATGTCGTTGTTGGTAGAAGAAACTCGACCGATCGATTTGACGAACCGCTCTACATTGTTATTCGCGCGCAAAAAAAGCGGATGGTTGGTAGAAAACGCGTGGCTCGTCCGTGGAATTTCGCGAATTTGTCCGCTTTTGTTCTCCAAATTTCTTGGCGAAAGGAAAACGTACACAAGTGTCCTTGACCGCCCGAAATCGGCCGAGCGTTAATTCGACGACGGAGACTGCCTCGTTCGAATAGAAAAAGAGAACGTTTAGGGCGCGAATGAGTTTGACGATATTGTATATAGATATGCGTATTCTTTTATTATGCCATCATCGCAGTCATAATCGCAGCCCGCTCGTAGGGGCGTGAAGTTATTTATTACGATGTTCCATATTGCCTCGCTAAATAGTTATAGTTGATCCGTTTACACTACAACTTATTCTCTTTGTGATCGACAGCCTTGATCGCGTGCATGATAACGAACCGCAAAACCAGTAAGAATATCAAGGTGATCGATGAAACATTGCACAATGTTGGCGTTGCGGCGGATTGCTCGTGGATGTAAACGGATGGATGTGTATATAATAATTATTTGCATAAATGTTAACTTTATGCATATATATATGCGTATACATGTGTACACATATATATATGTATGTATGTATGTTGTAATTATATAAATCCGAGAGTCTTTACAAACGAAGTAGGGAAATAAGCGCGAAACCGTATAACAAACCGATCGTCGCACAAACCTTGTAAACACGTGTTCGCGTCAAGCGACGAATTATACGTAAATATTGTACTAAAGACAAAGAAGAGGATACATAAAACGACTGGTAACATTTTAATACCAAATGTCGCTTTGGCAAACGTGTCTCTGCTTGACCTACACACGATACGAACCATTGTCCAGACATGTTCCTCGAAATCCCGGTGTTCGTAGATTGCTAAGAAGAGTAGTACTGATTTCAAATGGTGCTAGGAAGTCCAACACAAACCCAAGCACGCACAGAAGTCAGTACCTCTGCCTTCTTATTGCCTTCTACTCCTCCTTTTCCGTTTCTGTTCTCCAGGTCTCTGATTACTGTCGTCTCGACGAAAATGCGGTTCTCACGGTATTCTCTGACGTCGAATAATATTCGACGTTGCGTCTCCTCCTACGGCAGCCTTACAAGTCCACTCGCAACAAGAAAGGCCAGAGTTCGAAGAAGATATCCGCTAATCACCACACGCGGCCACTGTGATCGCAGGTGGAAGAAGATTGGAGGTAACTACGCGTTCCAAGATCGGTGGTTCGCTTTTAAACTGTACACTGTCGACGGTGTTCTCCATTTATATCTCTACTACCGATTATACCAGTTACGTAAGTTAAACGATTGTTCGATCGCCCGAACGAGACCCGAACCAAAACCTTTGAGGGAATGGTTTCGAAGAATGGTCCTGGACCGAGAGAATCGGCACGTTTTTCGGGCAAACAATGCAACGATCGAGAATGCGACGGGCACGGAAGGTGGCCGGAGGCTTTATGTGTCGTAGGTGGGCCCAGACGGGCGAGCCAGACTGTCCCAGGAGCGCTCGGATGGCTTCCTATATGCAGGCAGCCTGTTCACTTGCCGTAAAGCAAAATGGTAACTTAATATTAGACTTGAATATAAGTACGGTAATCCCACACCAGAGTCCAAAGTAAGCCTACACCTACCCGCCGCCCCGTCCTACCAGCCAGCCAGCCATCCCTGGACCTCCGTTCCCCCTTACGAACGCCCTCAAGCGTAATAATACGATGGGATACTAGATATCGGTGCTCTCTGTATTCTAGGTGCAAATTGCGACCACCTATGCTTCGTCTCTTTCTCCCATCGCCGCCTTTCCTGCCCGTCTCTCTTCCTGTCAGTACCTCTTTTTCATCGGGAGACGATTCTTTCGGATCTCCCGCACGTGCATCGTTACTTTCGTCGATCAGAGGCTGGACGCGCGTTCAGTCCTCTCGCTCTTTCGCGTCGAACGGTATTGGCAGGAACAAAATTGTCCCGTGTCGATTGCATATCTTAGGGTCGATGGATTTTTCTATGGAACGACCAAACCCAATTCCCTCTTGCAATTATTGGGAACACGTCCCTGAGACTCGAGTGTGTACTGCTCGCGACGCGAAATCTCTGAAACTCGATTCCTCTTTTTCAGCGTGTTTTTCTTTTCAGGTAAACGGGAGTAAAAGTGCTCCCCGAAGTGCGACGACCTTCGCGGCGAGAAGAACTAGGATAAACCAGTCGTCTGCGTGTCTCTTTAGAGGCGAAGTAAGCTAATCCCCGCCGCGTATCATGTTTGAGTCCCTTTAAACGATACTGATACGTCTCGCTCGCGAAAGCAGACGACGTTTCGCGGACTTGACTCGGTGTCTCGCACCGCGCTCGAGTTTCTTTCGATGCGACGTTAGTTTCGCCTCGTCGTTTCGTCGCGCGACAGATGTCCGGGGGATGGTTTCCCAATGGTTCCGAGGCTTTTCTTTTTCCAGGACGTGACGCGATCGCTATCTACCGGCATCGGGGCCACGTCAGCCACGCACGAACGATCCACGGATAATTTCGAATTAATCACACTGCGGGGTGAAACGCAGCTGGAAATAGGCCGGCTAGACTGCGGGCAGATGCTCGATCAAACCTATTTTACGGCTATGCAGGTGTTTCTATGAGTGTCTCCGACAGCGAGTGTCTTATTTGTATCGAGGTTGATTCACGGATGGGTCCCCTAACGTCGTCTCGCTTACCGATTTTCCGTTAACACTAGATCCGCCAACGGAGTCGAAATAATTTGTTTCGTCATTTTGTATAATGATTATACCCATTATCAAGACATCTCGTCTTCTGAAATTTGTTATGACTTTTATGGTAGTATATACATGAATGATTTCATTTTTTTCTTGTTTCTTGTGTAAAATTTACCGAGATGAATAATTTTGACCCCTTTCAGAATTTAGGTAAACTGTTGATTTCATTAGAATTTCATAACTTCCACTATGCTTCTTCCATGTTTTCCATAGCTCTCGCGTGCCCATAAAAACATATAACACTCGTATCTGTCGATATGCTTTTCTTTGTGAAGCAAGTCCATTCTTTTAAAAAACAAATCGCTATAACCCTCTGATAGATGTAGGCAGATGTCAGTCGTTGTACGAAATGTTTTTGCGATTCTCGTTAACCGTTTGAGTAGCTAACAGCGCGATCCATTTCGCGTAAAAAAATGTCGATGTATTGCCCCGATAGGTGCAACTGACAGTGCGTCTGGATTCTACTTGCTACAAAGTGTTCATTATACAAGTTGTTCCACGCAACTGGCAAAAACTTAGAGATCCAAAAGAATGTCATAATGCAAAATTGAACGACATCGAATGCAATGCACAAACGGAATATAATTTTACTCATTTTTATACATTGTTGCCTGCCCAGTTTACTTATCAAATATGCCACACCAAACTACACTATAACGCACGACTATTACGATGATTATAAAGGAGTTGCATTCTAATTTGTAGAAGTATGAAGGCAATGGTTGTTTTCGATGAGAACACATTTTTTTGTACAATTTTTCAGCACCACAATTATTCTAACTACATTCAATAAACAAAACAAACATATCTACTCGGTCACTACTCGTAAATGCCATAATGACGCACAGAGTTATCAACGAGGAAGTAAGCTAATCTTATACTGATTTATATTAAACGTAGACTCATGTTTCCAAACATTCTAATACGTATGTACTAATGCTCGAAATTGCTTCAACAAAAATAAACAATGATATAATAAAATAAATCAGTAAACTATAATGTGTTATAACTCTTGAACTATTACATACAGTGCGATCAAAATTCTAGAGTTTCGTTTTAAAAATGAATAGAATTACATTCAGATTTATGCATTATTCGATGTTGTTTAATTTTGCCTTATGACATTTTTCTGTATCTCTAACCATTCAAACTGTTAATTACTAAAAGTTTACGTTATTAATTTCCACCGTTTTTCTCGCAAATTTTAGAGAAAAAACTGGAGGAAAGAGATTTAAGACTTCCGCGGCCGGAGTTTATGTAAGTATTCATGGCTTCCGGGTGGATTCTTCTGAGAAAGTGCATATACTTTCAGTTTCACTATCACTGATATCGTTACTGCTATCTTTTAAAGAAAATTCTATGTTTGCGTTTCTTTTTGCCATAATTATGAATATATTAAACATCGCTATATTAACACATACATTGAATCGTTGAATTTATAATATAATCTCCGTTATTTTCTGCCACTTTTATATGTTGTTAATGTACTACATCAAAATGAACATTAATTCAATGAATTTTTCATCTTCCATTCCACTTTGTTTAATGTTCACTCTTTAATAATAGTTCGTTTACGACGAATCAAACGAGAGGCCCGTATGAGCCTCGTTGGCATAGCTGTAAAGTTAATTCGGTCATTGGGTTTTATATGTATGTATTAATAAATAATTAGAAATAATTCTAAGACGCTATTAATATACGCTTCAGTGATTTGGAAAGAAAACCATATCGGACATCTATTAACGTATCGAACCCATTCCTGAAGTTATGCTCACCTAGCCCAGATCTTTCGAAAAATTAAGAAAACCACGTAAGTACCTCGAGTTCCCTTTATCGTAAATAAGTTTCTCAACTTCCAACGTAGAATTATCCCGTCCGTCTAATTGAAACTTGACGATTATTACAGCAGTACGGTTGTATTTGAAGAAGGATGCCTGTCACCTCGACGGAATATTTGAAATTTCGTTTCAACCGAGATTCTTTGATGCTGGATCAACGATTACACCGAGCAGATGTTCTTCCTGGCCAGCCAGTTCAATCGACGCAGCCCTGGTAGAAAGATATCGGTCCGTGTTCGTATTTCACCCTCGATCGAATTAGTTTAAAAGATTTCCTTCGCACCATCTTGTCCGATCACATTCGCGACCAGTTCCGCTCTCGAGGAGCGCGCATCTCCTTCGAACGGATCAGAATCGATAGCGGATCGAGCTTCGATCGTGTTCTAGATTCTATCGGTTCGTGGACTCGCGGCATTACTGTTTGTTTATTTTAAGTCCCAGGCGTATCTTGTTTCGGAGCCAGACCCAGCTGACCGCAACCCGGCATCGTTTTCTCCTTTTATTCGGTTGCGTTACATGTCGATCTGGCGTTCGTGCGAATTAATCGAGAAAAATCGAGGGGCAGCTAAATAGACAAATATACGCGACATTTTCGAGAATAAAAGAACATCGTAGAATTTTACAGGCATAGATTCATATAAGTTCTGCAAAAATCTACGCCCATTCTCTTTTCAGCCTAACCGGGCTCTGAATATACAAGGAAGAATTGTTAGGGTTGCAGGAACAGCTCGGATAATCTCGTACGCTCTTGGTTCAGAGGTAAACGGGGATTAATGCGAAATCCTAATCGAAGAGAAACGCAACGACGGGGCTAATCGACGCGTAGAACCGTGCGTCACGACGCCTCACGTTGCTAGCCTTGCATCGAAATCCCCGAGCCATCCTCAGCGCTGAGAAAAACGTGATGTTGTTACGAACTGAGCGACCTAGTTTCATTCTCTGTTAAACTTTTTCTATTTCGTGGCTCCTTGTTAACGCGGAATATTTTTAACAATCGAATCTTCAAGTATCCCAACGCTTATCGTAGCCGATTATAAACCTAAGCGCTTCGGAGTTGAATACATCCAGGACCATCTACGACTCCGTCCAGAGCATAGGTCTTAAGATGCAATTTTACCTGCTCGACGGAGAACGACGATATCTTAAAGAATCTCAAGAAATAGACGCGCAACGACGCAACGATAAACTGTGGCTCCTTGTGTTTCTAGAGAATAACTGGCACACCACCCGTGGATAACATTAGCACGCACTCGATGGATCTTCCTCAACACGATCAAAGCAAGAAGAACGCACGATCATCGGCGGCGTTCGCGCACTTGGAGGTCCCAGACCGAGTCGACGCGTCATTCGATTCCGCGGCGCGGGTAAAACAGCTCGTTCAAATACCGGAAACAAGCTGGCACTGGACCCTCGAGCAATTATGGGTACGAATGTGTATCGAATAAACGCGGACTAATCGTCGAGGTTTGATTAGCTCGATGTCACGGAGTGAAAAGATGAAGATCGCGACGGCAACGGTCGTAGCGCATGGTTTCCAACGGCATGGGACTTCGGACACGACTGATCGAGTGACCGAGGGGGTAGCATTGTAAGAATACCCCTCCTCGTGCGCTTGTATAGAATTACGTGTGTGCCCGCTCATCGCACATAGAGCAACTCTCCGTCCCCTTGGTTCGAGCAAAAGGGAGAACCGAAGGGAGAAGAGTGGCTCTACGCTCTCTCTTCCCCTCTTTTTGCGTTCCTCCTGCCCCGTCGGTACGCCTCTCCTTTCACCGTGTCTACCCACCCCTGGCTCTCTGCCCTGTACCCCTACCCTCTCTCCGGATTCCCCACGCACGTCTCTCTCGCGTGCGTGAATCATGCATATCGATTTTCTTTCGTTTAGTACGCCGTTCGGTAGTTGTTCGCCGCCGCCACCACCGCCGCGCGCGTACGCCCGTGGCAAGATCCCCTCTTCTTTCAGAAAAGCCCGGGGGCCGAGTAAGCGGACGAACCCCTTTCTGAAAACGCGTACGCACGACCGCGATGTCGAGCGAGCGCGAGCGCGCAACCCAACAACACCGGTGCCCAATTCTTTTACACACAATGCCCCTGTCTTCGTTTAACTCGCGTCTCGCCATAGTTTTATCTAGATAACAAATAAGTATAACGAATAATCTTTCGTCGATAACTTTTCATCTGCACGAAACTCTGTTCGCTTTGTTAACTATATCTTTATATAAATAACGAACAAGTTTTTCGTATATTTCATCTAGATGGCCTATAGTTGGGGATCACAAATGAACTTTCATTTTTTCAAAAGCTGTTCGTTTTGTCCCCGTTTAACTTAGGCTTGATTATATTTCTATTTCTATATCTAATACGTACAGTGAATGTTTCATCTGGTAAGTATATACAGGGTGTTCGGCCACCCTTGGGAAACATTTTAATGGGGGATTCTAGAAGCCAAAATAAAACAAAAATCAAGAATACCAATTTGTTGATGGAGGCTTCGTTAAAAAGTTATTAATAATTAAATTTAAAAATTTCAAATTGTTCTAAAAAAATTATTTTCGGTTATGGGGGTCAATTACAATCATTTTTGGTCATTACACATACCCCCGAAATCCTACGCACTTTCGAGAAAAAAATTCCTTACCGAAAATCTAATTAGGTGCCTAAATTTTTCGACGAAAAAAAAATTTCCAATCGTTTTGGAAAAATTATTTTCGGTTACGGGGGTCACTTACGATCATTTTTGGTGAATAGACATACCCCTGAAATCTTACCCACTTTCTAGAAAAAAATTCGAGAATGTGTGAAATTTTTCGACGGAAAAAAAAAATTTCAAATCGTTCTGGAAAAATTATTTTCGGTTGCGGGGGTCAATTACAATCATTTTTGGTGAATAGACCTACCCCCGAAATCCTGCGCATTTTCGAGAAAAAAATTCACTACGGGCGGAACTTTAAACGTTAATAACTTTTTAACAAAGCCCCCATCGACAAATTGGTATTCTTGATTTTCGTCTTATTTTGGGCTCTAGAATCCCCCATTAAAATTTTTCCCAGGGATGGCCGAGCACCTTGTATAAGTAGACGATTCGTTAGACGCAAATTTCACTTTAACGAAAAACGTCTACCATCCGTTTAATTATTTCACGTACAAATAATTGATATAATAATCTTTTGCCTAAGTAGCTCACATTTGTGAAATGCGAATAAGCTCTTATCTAGCTGAAACTGTTTTCGATCTGGCTTTGTTTAAATCACTAATTTTTATGTGAATATTGAACAAATACATTACACATTTCCTCTAGATAACTCTATATTCATGAGTAGCGAAAATACTTCCATCTGGACCAGACGCGTCAAACACATTTTAGCTCGATGGTTAATTAGCACTTTGCTATTATATTTGGAGCTACATTTGTTAAACATATTAGATTTTAGAAGAAATAGAAAATTTAATTAAATTCAAGAATTATCAGTTTATTGTTCACATTACGTTTACCGTGTGTTTTTTTTTCACACAGTAAACACGTATTTTTTATTTCCTATTATTTGAACTGATGATTATCGGAATAAATTTGCCTCCTGATTAGTTCGAATAATCGACATTCTACTATAGCTGCAATTGAAAAATCTCTAATACTTAAATCTGCTGCCCCCTCCCCCTCAATCACGTGACGCTCGAAGCCCTCAAAGAACCCCTTCTTCATCCGCGACGGTTTTTTGCTCGAGCAAAATGTCCCCGTATAACGCGAAACAACGATGAGACGATGCTCTTGTACCCGGCTCTCTAGCCCCCTCTTTTCTCCTAATGTACCGTCTCCCCCTAATCTTGCAGCACCCCGTACTCTCCGGCCAAGCTCGGTAATAAACTCTCTTTGTTTTTATCCACTCTTTTCCTATGGTGGTACACCCCTCTGTTTTCGCTGCTTTTTATCGGTGGCACGGTTAGGCCAGGCCGATCGAGGGTAATTATCGTTTTTAAACGTCCACCTCCTGTTCTGTTGCAGTTACTGCATCGAGTTTCTCGTGTAGCCATCAAGTTTAGGAATCTTTGATCCTTAACCCATCTACATCATTGACATATACATAGCCACATGAAAATATTCGAACGATACATATTTATAATTAAAATGGACTCAGATCGTACAGTATAGAGAATATTTTGAAATTTCTGTGTGTATCGTGTATAGGAAACATATACGGACAAAATATATTAACACTCAAACGAGATCTGATTTTAAAATATTTATAAAAATACATGATCTTTTATCTTGAAAAATTCGGTCAAGATTAATTTTACGTCAGTTTCCACCCAACCAAGGGTGTAGAAATCATTTATGGTAAGTACTCGTGACATATAATTTAGTAACACCTTATAGTTTTTATTTGCAATGACCGACAAGGGTCGAAGTAGGCAGGGATCGGAATGGCAAAGAACATCGGTTTATAAACAATTCCTTTAATAAGTAAACGTGATAGATATGACGCTTCAACATGATAGAAATAACTTTATGTACAATCATACGACATTTACAACAATTTTACACCGTCGAAAGGTTAATCGTCGACAGAGATAAATTAAATTTAAATTTAAATTTTACAGCCTATATAGTTCATAAGAGATTTCAGATTCGAGTAATATTTCAAGTAATAAATTAATAGACGCCCCGCGGATGGCACGAACGTGTTTGAACGTTTCGAAGAATTAACTATAGCGTCCACGATAATTTATGCTAACAGATTAATCAAACCGTCATCACATTCTCGTTTGCGTTAAGTGTCGCGTTGGTCTCCTAGTATATGTATACGTGTAAAAAGAGAATCGCTTTAATTTGAAGTACATCTTGAAATGCAAATGGAATGCGTAGTTCTTAATACGTGTTCCTACGAGGTAATCACGAAAAGTTTATAACATTATGCTACGTAATATCTAGAAGGATTCAATCCTAAGACGAATTCGGTTAATGTATTTGAATTACTCGTATAATCGTATTATTTGGCCACTGAATTACTGTGCTTACTTATCACCGAATATACATATAAGTCGTCGTCGAGATTGAAAGCCTGTAACTTTCATTTTGTTCCCAGTTGATAAATGTTTCTATTTGCTGCATGTTCGAAATAATTTACTTTGTTGGTTTCACGGGCTTGATGCAAATATTGACGGCCGGGTGCATTTATCGTCGCCCTTGGCGAAGTTTCAGTACTTTGAGCATCGATAGGATACGATAATACTTTAAGTAGGTGTCTTGTATTTTACAATTCTCGTGGACACAAATTAACGCGTGTCATGACTACCTGATTGTTATGCGTTTCTTTAATCTATGAGAAAAATTGTGTATATTTCAAACTGCAAGTATACCGAATGGAACGCCGGTCGTGTTTTCTTCCTTTAACATTAAGACTTTTGCATACGTCTATTTTGCACCCTCGGTGAAACGGAATAAAGTTTGCGAAAAATGTCTATTAAATTGTTCTGTGGAAATAACGTCTCTATTATTCCCTCCAAAAGTACGTATAACAGTCTTCTGTTCAACACAGGACGTTGGAACAATTCAAACACTCTTAAGAGTCCACGCCTCGTTGTCTCGCTACCTATGATATGCTTTAACTCGTCCGAAAAGCAGGACAGCAAAGCAACCTTAGCCGCTACTCTCGTTCTGTTTTTTATTTCCGTGTCACGCGGTGGTTTCTTCTCGGCCTTAACACCATTGGGCCAAAAGCTATTTCTGTAAGACAATGTAATCGTTGAATAATCTGCAATGGCGTACCTGTTTGACATAACCTATTAAGCTGTAAACTAAATTTCAGCACTATAATATGTAACTCTGTTAGTTTGGAAGCTACTTAAAATTAGTTTCTTTTCTTCATCATTTAGAGCGTATTTTATCACTTATTCAATAAATTACCGAAATTTAGTTCACAACTTAATACGTACAACTTTACTCACTTGAACATCTTTAGATACCCAGCTACTTTCGCTGGACTGGTCAGCAGTGACACGTACTCTACTATTCTCCGATTCACTATGTCCCCAAACATAGTACGGATAATTTGTCTCAACAGCGTAATGATCCGCCGCCTGAGCCACTGATTTCGCACTTTCAAATCGAATATCTCATCCATCAGTAAGAGCATAATACGTAAAGGAATATTATCGTCAGTCTAAATCGCGAAGGAATTTAATTGCACAAATTACTTTCTTGAAAAAGAAGAAGAAATAAATAAAGGGAAGAAAACAAATATGTACCTCTACGTCAAGACCAGCACCAACTTTAGTGTTCTCGTAAAAGGCGTTAGGTTTCTTTGGATTGCCAAAAAATTTGCTTATGTTATCCATGACTCCATCTACAGTGTTCAACATGTTGTCTGGCATAGTTTTAACGGCTTGCGTCACAGTCTTCATCGATGTTTTCAAGGGATTCATGAAACTATCTATCTGCATTAAGGCAAATATTATACTTATGTAATCCTCTTATAGGCGTTAGATATCGTACTTACCGTTCTCGAGATCTGTCCACCAGAAATTCCTTTATCGTAATCCCCTTGCTCCAAGAAATTCAACAGTAAGTTTTGCAAGCCCATATGACCGTCGACTACTGCCGGCTTTGTCAACTGATGCAACCAAGCGTTCAACATCAACATTCTTCTCTCCAAAACTGTCCTTTCCATATTGTGAAAAGCTTTCTTCGCTGGAAAAGGTATCTTCGCGAGATCGTAATACTTCTCTTTTATTTTCTGATACAGATCATAGAAATCGGAATATCTCCTATAAATGTGCCATTTCTCTTGATATCCTGAATCGTAGCTCTTCGTTACAGCCACCGCATAGATGCCGTAAGTTTTTCCACGGTCATTCACAATACCGGTTTCTATGATTTTAACGTTAATCTCGAATCGACCTTGTTGCAATTTTTTAATCGCATTCTGATCATACGTGTTCTCGTCCAGTTTGATAAACTGTTCCACGTTCGATTCTACGTAGAACGACACATCCTTACCTTCGCCAATGTGATCGGTTTCGGTGTTTACCACTTTTCTCGTGCTTTTCATAGTTCTAACGTTTATCTCAGAATCAGTCTCATCAACCGTCTTACCTTCGTTAGAGTCCACTATGCTCGTAGATCTGATCGACGAGTCCGACTGTAATTTGCTGTCTTTCGTTTCATCGGGTTTGTACAATTCGGACATCTCGTCCAGAGTCTCGAGTTCGTTGTTCGTACTAGATAGGCTGACGCTGTCGAGTGATTTTGTATCCTCCTCCGAGGCTGGGTCCTTGAGCAAGTCCAATTCAGCGAGGAGTTTCACGTAGGCAATCGACCTTTTAAAACCGGGTAGAAATCGATCTTCGTTCTGTAACTTCTCGTAACAACAAACTCGAAGGTCGTCGAACCATGTTTCTTTCACAGACTCGGTTCTTATTCTAGATAATAAAGTCTTTACCAAAACATCGTCTAACTGCAATTTTGACGAAGCTTTGTCGCTAAGGTACTGTTGATAAATCTTCGTAGCTGCTTCCTTTAAGTTCTCCAAATTAGTATTTTTACGCTTGGTGCCCATGATACTAGAACTAGCATGAGCCGCGTGTAGCTTCTGCAATTCTATTTCGGATATTTGCTGCTCGGCCGACACTCTCCAACCATATATGTTCAGATAAAAATATAAGTATGATTCTGCGTTTATAGAAGTCATGTAGTCGATAAAGTAACTCAATGCAATGTTATTCTTCAGCAACTCATCCAATGGTAAATTCACTAACTTTTGGCCCGGTATTAACAACCTATTCCAATCTGGTTGAGCACCAATTCCATCAGTTTCTGATTCCAAACCCTCTTGCATTCCAATGATCCTGGTCTCCAAGATTTTCTTTACATAGAGTAAACTGTTTAGCTGCTGCTTGACGGACAAATCGTCCTCCCTGCCTAAATCCTTAGAGCGTAAATGAGCTATTTCTTTACAAACTATATTCTTCGTCGCCGTTAATTCGTCTAAACTATCCGTAACTCTGATCACTGTTAAAAACACATCACTCGGTAAACCAGCTTCCTTAACGCACTAGAACAAAACAACTTACATGTATTTTTACAGTCTTCATTTGTACAATTACGATTTATCGTTGGAATGTTGTGCTCACCAGCCATATACACGCCTGATTAATATAATCAGGATCGGAAAATAAATCCAACAGCGGTCTAATTACTATGTTTACTAACAACTCCCTTAATATAAATCTCACAGTTAAACAATCGAAATCCTCCTTTGGTAATACTAAATACAACAGAATTTCCGATATCTCGCCCAAAAATTCAAGTTCCTGCATAGTGTTGGAACACACCAAATCTCTGCATATTAGATTATTTTCCATCTGCACCTCTAGGTCAAAAAATATTTTCTCCAGCGACTCATCCTCCTTCTCTTCGCCAGTTTCGATTGGTTCCGTGAGTGATGATAAATTAGGAATGTAAAACTTTGACTGAGAGTACCATGATATATCGGTTTCGCTTTTGTTTCGTCTGTGAGTCGGCGTTTTCTTTGGAGTCCCGCTCGACGTGCTTGAGCTTGCGCTACCTTTCTGCAGCTTTTTCGATCGAAGTTGTTTTATTCTCTCTCTTGCTTGCCGATACAATCTCACATGGGAGGCTGCATCGTCGACGAGACGAGTTGTTAAGTAAGATATCCAGTCCACGCCTTTTACTCTGTAGAAATATACAATTAGGAGAAAGCAAACCACACCTTAACATTTTGCCAACCGCACACTTTTTATAAACAACACGCATAAATTTACTTAAACATCTACCATTTCTATAATCTTAAATATATATATATTCTTCAAAAATTAACTCTTATCTAGATTCTTTTAACACTACTTTTAATTTTCGATTGAATGCAATACGATTGACCCCCAATACAAGGTCATTCGATAACAGATATCATGATTGGTTGGCATTGTGTTAAGTAAAACTTTGTTGTTAATAGTGTCACGTACCGATTTGCGACATTGATAGCTATTTTTTGAGCAGTATCCCGTACAGAGTATATGAACTCTTCGTCGTCTGTAACAATGCTGTACCATGGTTCCACGTAATCTCTGATAATGAAATCTAATATCTCCTATATAAAGGAAGTTGCAAATTGCTAAGTTACTTTTATTATAACATATGAAGGTACATAATAGTAGTGAAATTTTTAAATCGAGTATGTACTTGCAGGGACTCGTCAATAATACGGCTACCAGTGATTCTTCTATCTAAAGTAAAGTTCAACTTCTGCTTCGATAGTTCTAGGATGTACTGTAAAGTAACAAAGATATAATTAGGCAGAGCCAATCAACTAGACATTTTTCTTAAGTATTTGTTTACCTGACGAAGCTTTTCAGTCTTCTTATTTAAGTCTTCCCTTTCAGAATTAATGACATTGTCAAGATTTGGGCCATATGTTCTAAATACACAAGTGATTGTTCTGCAAGGAAGTATGCATAAGTATCTGTTATCTATATATACGACAATTCTTAACATTAAAGTACTTGACATCAACTTCATTGTACCCTAAAAGTAAGGCGATCAGGCAAATGAATAACTTTACAATTGTTCCACATCCAACAAGATATACGAACAGAGCTGCTGCAACTCCAAGAAGTCCATACAGTGGAACGTTCATCTGCAGAAAATTACAAATCTTTCAAACTGAATCAGTAAGGGAGAATATGCTGGAACAAGGTACAAGAGTCACGACAGAGCTCCTGTACAGATAATCACGGAAAAATACATTACTGGAAAGTTCCTATTCGATGGTCCTTATCAATTGTGTAGTGTGAAAATATAATGGTCAGCACTACCGCGTGATTCGACTTTCAGAGGGCACACTCGTTTCACTATACATCACGTTTTGAATTTCATTAAAAAGTTTCTCTTGTTTGTACATCTTTCGTTCGTGGGTAAATAACTGTCACGTTGACGTATTGACCCCGTCCACATAAATACAAAGTATCGTGCAAAACGACAGTAGGTAAAAAGTCTTGAAAAGAAGAGAGATCCAAGAAAATCTTGAAAGAAATGCTATACACTCGACGAGTGCGTGCTCAATGACGAATTTGCGCACATTAAAGAGACATAAAAGTCGATTGCAATACGTATGTTCCGTCTGCTATACCGCACCAGGTCCGACGTATTATTGCATGCACCCACCTTTGGATTCTCGGATAAACAGCCGTACATACAGCTACACACATATTGCAGATTTCGTACGATTCGTCGCACGAACTAGTCAGCTAAACAACAACAGTTTATTTACATGTTTGCAAGATAACATTAATTTACCGAATATGTCTGGCGACATGTCTGTTAATTCTGCATACGAATGGTAGAGGCGCTTCAACTCACCGCCAATTTTATGCTCGACACGTAGCAATGGTTGTTCAAATTTTTCACATTCACAAATTTTTAAGCAATGCGTAATTTGTGAAAAGCAGTTTTTAATGTTTCTTTTTCATTGGACCCCTTTTGGCAGTTTAATAGCGCTCATGGACTGTTTCTTTGCAACATTCTCCAGAATTACGTGTTTAAGTATTAGTTAAATCAATGTTTTTTCAATTAAGGGAGCATTCTACTATAAAATGCGTATTTTGAAGTTTTCTCTCATAATTTTTAGGTTAAGAACTACACAAACTTTTTTCGTCGAAATTTCTCACACATATTTATTGATATCTAGGAAATTAGAATTCCCCGCTTAACACGTTGATGGTTACGGCAGTTTTCCTTGTCTATAGATGTCCTCGACATTTGTTTACGATTATAGTGTAAAAAATAGAAATATTCGATATTCAATGGTGATGTACTTATTATTTTACAGCAATTCTATGTATAGTAACGTATTTACAATCCTAGTAAGGTGTACTAATATGTATAATCAAGTATTGTGGGTTCGTCCCATCGGAAACAATATTACAACATGTAAGTTTAAAGTTACGGTCAACACAGTGAGGCTTATGACAGTCAACGTGTTGAATAACATTAAATAAATCATAGAATGACCATATTTGTAAATTATTTTTTAAATTATATTATGAGTAAATCCTGGCGGTAGTGCAATGTCAGGCCGACTCGCGACAGAGGTGGAGCAAGCTCCAACTGCTCCGTCTATTTCCAAAAATCAGATTAATATTCGGACTCCCCAATATGTATAAGCAACACAAAGAAGTAAAAAGAAAAAGAAGATAAAAAGATAAAATGTAATAGTAGCAAACTGTTCAAGAATTAGCTCATTTCTTGGCCGTCACGAGTATCATTAGCAGCACCTCTCGGGCACAGTGTGGCCAAATCGGGCATAATTGAGCGCATCGAAATCGACGATAGTGACGACGAACTTCCTTGGCGTCTAACGGAGTGGTGGTTCTGCTGTGACTGTGACTGTGAGACTGTGACAACAGACAGTTCTCAAATCAGTGCATACAAATGCATGAGGTGTAACTATCGTAACTTGCACGATAAGCATACGACGCGAGTAAAGAAATGATCAAAAATACTTATTTGTCCCAATAATAACCGAATAATTATTTATATTGCATGGTCTCAAGCCAGAGTGATTAAAATTTGTTATTCTACATTCCTCGAAAGTATTTTTATAAAATATAAATATATCGAACGTTACAAGCGATACATACAGTCTCACTCGTTTCACAATACGGTTCCCAGCTTCTTAGATAATTATTTTCCAACAAAAAGAAATCATGTCCGCGAGTACTTCTCACACAGAAAAAGAATTAGATTTAAGTAATGCTGGCAGAGGTGTGTGGCTAGTCAAAGTGCCTAAATACATTGCGAACAAATGGGAGAAAGCACCCGGCAATATTGAAGTTGGGAAATTAAAGATAACCAAGTGGGTTTCAGCTATATTCGTATTTTAATGTCGTGGTATCGTAAGAATATTAAAATTTGTATGCATTGGTAGAAACCCTGGCCAGAAAGCTGAGGTATCTCTTAAATTATCAGAGGCTGTCTTGGCTTTAAAGGAGCCAGGAGAAGAAGAGATTCCTAAGCAACATAGATTAGACGTTACGACAGTAACGAAACAAATGTTAGGTGTATTCTCTCATGTTATGCGTAAGTTTCCAACAGATATTTCTCGAACGATTTACTCGAAAATATATTTCGTAAGTGTATATTCTTTTCTAGCATCAAATAATTCTGATTCTATTGTTCCTGAAACTGAAAAGCTTTACATGGAAGGAAGAATTGTACAAAAATTAGAATGTCGACCATACGGTAAGGACTTTGTAGCGAAGTAATTAAAAGGCCTTCAATGTAGGATATACTTGATGTATGGATGTATTGTTTACAGCGGACAATTGTTATATGAAATTGAAATTACAAAGCATTAAGAGGGCTTCTGTACCACAAAGACAGGTTCAGCAATTAGACAGGGTGGTTCAAAATTTCAAGCCTGTTTCTGACCATAAACATAACGTAAGTGTTTTATTTGTAGCACTTGAGCATGTGTATATTATGTTAACGTAATTATATATTTTTTAGATTGAATATGCAGAAAAGAAGAAGGCAGAGGGCAAAAAGATGCGAGATGACAAGGATGCAGTATTGGATATGTTGTTTGCAGCATTTGAGAAACATCAGTATTATAATATTAAGGATCTTGTCAAAATTACAAGGCAACCAATTGTAAGTATTTTTTACATTTATAATGATTGTGAATTATAGTATATATTTGTAAATGTCCTCGTATTAAACAGCCTTATTTGGTTCTTTTATCTTATTAGGTATATTTAAAGGAAATATTGAATGAAGTTTGTAACTATAATCTGAAAAATCCTCATAGAAATATGTGGGAGTTGAAGCCAGAGTATAGACATTACAAGGAAGAGGAAAAGCCTGAAAATGCTCAGAAAAAATCTGATGATTTGGATGATGATTAATCGATGAGATTTGTATATACATTTATTTTTATTCTGTTCGTTCAATTGAAATATAGTTAGAAATAGAATATTTTATATAATCTGAAACTCGAGGCTGTGCGGAATTTACATGATTCTGTAAAAATTTTTAAAATTTTCTACATTTACAATAATTTCGTTACGTTCTGTTAATAAGGAATAGAAATTAAGATTATAACAAATACGTTTTATCTTTATTTTTTAAACAGATACAATTTGCAGTTGAGACAACTACCTGTACTATATTAAGAGTCAAAATCTTTTATTGTTATATAAGAGAAGATTGTAAATTTGTAAAGTATATATTTATACTTCATAACAAAATGCATTGTGTTTAAATACACAGTTGTTATAAAATCTTGAAATATTTTTTAAATTGTAAATAAGAGGTAACATATTCTATACATACATTCAAATATTTTTTAAATAATTTCTTCAAGTATCACTATCTTAGTCACGATAAAAATAGTGACATTTTTATTTTACTTTTTTTTCATAAATAAGGCATTGCGGAGTAATTTTTAAATGCTGACTTTACATGATTGAACTGTTTAAAACAAGAAACTTTTGTTCAATAAAATATTGTACAGATTCTTTCTGCATATTTAACAAAGTATGTAATAGTTAACAAAAACTGACTAGAGTCGATTGCACATTATCTTTTGTTTTTACATACTGATAAACAATAAAATTATGCCTTTCTTGTAATTTTATAAATTGTACGATTATACAAATATATGTATTAAAATAATGGAATACGAAAGTACAGCTCTTTCTCAAACTATTCGTAAATACGTATTACTTGATCAAATACAAGTTACAAGGAAGAAGACTAAAACTGATGGCACTTCTAATATACATATACGAGTACTATTTAACAACGAAAGTTAAAAGTTTATATAATGCATATATTATGGCAGGAATTGCAAATAACTGGTTCTAGTAGAGACTAGGAATGTTTCTAATTTTGTGCATTAATATTGTAAGTATTATTACGAAAACATCAACTCTATTTCCTAGCATTTTCTGTTATGAACTATGGAATGCCTTACTATGGAAATAATATTTTTAATCTATTAGGAAAAGTATAATACTCTAAATAATTGATATAGGAGTCGTTATGACCAGCTTCATAATTAATATTTATAACTACTAATGGAGGTCAAAAATCAACGATTCTTACTTTAAGCTAATAAGCATTTAAATGTGCAGTAATACTTTGTGCGTATAATTTTGATGTTACCGTTTGTCACATTTTCTTTCGAGCATCGAAAAATTACCCTTAAACATTTACAAAGGCTTGGAACATCAACATTGGATGACATCCGCATAAAACTTTGATTCCAATTTTTTCATTTGCCGGAATAAATATGACGGAGCCTCGATAAAGAATTTTCGACGATGAAATCTCACCTTTCCCGTTTATAATAATCAAAATACTAGCCGTACTTCTAGGAATTATATTATACGAGGATCGTCCAGGGGGTATCTAAAACATGTGTGTATAGTTGATAAATTTTATGATGTTGAAAATTAAAAATCTATCGATTTTTCTACGAGACTTACTGTAATTTTAGCAACTGCAAAATCTGTTACAGGAGGACGAAATACTTCTGTGCATTCATCTTCGCGGGAAGGTTGAAATTTTTTTGCCGAAATTGGTTCGCAATTATACATTAACATTTCGATCAATGTTGACACATCTTTCAGCTTTGGAGTCAATCCCGCGCGTACTACATTATCAGAGCACGCCATACATTCTATACAATCTGTAAATGATTTAATTATTTAATAAAATCTGTAAATTTTGCTATACAAAGGATGGTGCGTTAAATAGATCGATATATACTATTTCGTGATAAATAATTTTAGGAAGAGAGAACTTCATTTCGTACAGCAATTTGAGAGACTCGCTGTAATTAAAATACAGTAGAAAAGTTATGAAATATTTACCACCAGAAAGATATGCGTGCGGTTCATTTGATCCAAGGTATATAGCTTCACCAGGCTGCATTGTTATAAAATTAAAAAAGTAAATACCAAAACATCCTACATCTCCCGGATAATCCGAGTACAGTCTTTCTAACACACTAGCATGTAAAGTTTGCCTCAATGATTCGTCTAAAGTCAAGGAATTATATTCAGTGTTATCCGTAGAAATATTTTTCTTGAAGTTTAATTTGTTAATGAAATTTACCCAAGTTAGACAATCTATCAAGTAATTTTCTAAGTTGTAGCGCTATTAAACCAGGATCACAAGACATGAGACTATGGAAACACGTTTTCAAGGATTTAATAATGCCCGTTTCGTCGGTTGTCATAAATTTAAATACTTTGTCTGCTCCTATTACGGCACGTAACTCTGGAAGAACTTTTAAAAACTCTTTTATCTCTCTAATTGGACGGAAGCCACAGAGAGCCTCGAAAGGTGTTAATGCTATTGCAAGCTCAGGCTTATGATTTGCGTCTTTGTAAATAGTAGGGTACTGCTGATGCAATTCTTTCGCCTTCTCCTGTGATAATATATGATATTTAACAAGACGTTATGTAAAGTACATATTATTAAAAGATATACCTTGTTTGGATGTGCCTGAATTGATAATGCTTTATTCACAGATAACACCTTAAACAAAAATGGCAAATTTTGTCCAAATATTTTTTGAACATCGCTGCCTAATACTTCGCTATTTTCTTTTATGTATTTCTCCAAAGGCATATTCAGTTCTTTCATGTATGAAGGCCCATTGGGATGTGTGCCCATCCATAACTCAGCATATGGTTTCTTCTCATCCAGTATAAAGTCACAATTAGCAGATTTTGTTAATGTCGCAACCATACTATCAATACCATACTTTCCCCAGTCGTAAGTTTGTATTTTACATTTCAGTTCCATTCTGTGAATATTTCTGAAACACAAAACAAAGAAATGTTATCTAAAATTTTGACATAAATACTGGTAATATAAATCTTCTTTATATGGATAAAAATATAATATATTCATAAAAAATATCATTATTAAATGGAAATTTGTTAATATTAATCTTTATTTTTTTAATAAAATAGTTAAATATGTTTCCTATTCAAGCGTTTACGAGTAGAAATATGTAGACGTTGTTGGAAAGTTTCAACGTGTTGATGACGTTTATACAAACTAGAGACCAGATAAAAAGAAGGTACAAATAAATACGTTTATTACCAGTCCTTTGATAACACCTGCAACATTCGCACACATCTGTTATTATATTTACAAAGCAGTACTCCGACTTCGTCGTTTCATTTTGCTTTTTCGTGCGTATCTTATCGATCGCATTGATTTCTAAAACATTTCCTTATTTAAATTTATTTCTTTGTACGTTTCTTCATTCATTTTACATGTGTAATAAGCTCGGTTATTCATAATTTCGCGTTACATGTCACATAAAGTTACAAGTATTTGATTACAAGCATAAAGGAGGTATTTACAAAACTGTTATAAATAAAATATTGCAAGGGGATTCACAAGTAACATTAATACTACAATACGAAACAAAAAAGTATACATTTAATTAACAAATATCAATGATGTATGTATAAAATACATTTTTTATTCTCTAATTGATTATAAGAATTATAAAAATTCACAGTAATCGATACAGGTGTAAAAAACTTTGTTCGAACATATTTATAGTTATGTTACTTCATTGTAATAATTTATTATAATATTGCATTATAATATGTGTTTCAATGAATGAAACAAACTGCACATTCAACAGAAGCGCCGTTCTATGTCATTTGTATTTCGTGGCAATCTCGAACTCGACACGTTGCGAGTTACGAGATACTAACTCGGTCTCTTTCACGTTAAGCGTGTTCCATAGTGTTACGTGTGCTAGCAAGGTACCGCAATTATATTTCAATATTCTGTAATAATACGTTTTATATACAAGTGAAAACCTTACTAATAATTTTCTAAATACTTTTCCAGCACTAGTTTTAATTAAACTTTAAAAATGGTGGCCCAAAAGAAACAGGTAAATATTTTCATGCAATGCACGTGTTCCATTCAATTTTCGAAGCACATGTTAAATTCATATTTTCGCTCATGCATCATAGATATCACATAATAATGTTTATGCATATCACTATTAAATTCGGGACTTCATTTTTAAAACTACATACTTTTAAAACCAAGATAGTCTCTTAGAATGTGTAATTGGTGAGGTTATGTTAAGTCGACGCGTGTGAATATCAGTTCGATAAACAAGAGTCCTAGAGTAAAAACTTAATATATTTTTGATAGTATAGCATTCCAATGATACGAATTATTTGCTCTTTCCCAACAGAAAAAGTCCCAGGAGGGTATTAACACAAGACTAGCTCTGGTTATGAAATCCGGGAAATACGTCTTAGGCTACAAGCAAACGCTGAAGTCCCTCCGGCAAGGCAAAGCAAAATTGGTCATCATCGCGAATAACACTCCTCCTCTAAGGTGAGACTGAGATGTAGTGCTCCTTCTGGAATCACAAAACAGTATGAAAATTATAGAATTATGTAAAGTGAATGAAATCTGAAATTGTATTTTATAAATTTTATATTTTTAATATCGATTTGTGTGTTCATAATGGGAGTCCTACGGAGTAGTCTCGCGTCTCTGCTTGTAAGTGCAGAGACATTGATGTTCAAGGCGATAGAGTAAAATCTATATATTTTTATTTTCTTTTTTTAACAGGAAATCGGAGATAGAATATTATGCCATGTTGGCGAAGACAGGTGTACATCATTATGTCGGAAACAATATAGAATTGGGAACCGCGTGTGGAAAGTATTTCCGCGTGTGTACCCTTTCTATTACAGATCCTGGAAACTCCGATATTATAAAGTCTATGCCCACTGGTGATCAGGCATAAGTATATATTTTTTATTTAATAAAAATTCAATAAAACCTAAACCTTCCGTGTATATTCTACCGCCATTTTTCCTGTTCCACGTTAATGACCACCAATCACAAAGTATTGGAAAGATGTTCAGCAATTTGTTTATGACGTTAATTGTAATTCTAATTTTTGTTTGACAACTAACAGATAAGTTACTTATTTTTTATTTGTTCTACTTTCCTAATCATTTTAATTTGTTCATTTTTACAGACAAGATATCGTTTGTGGTATAGTGTAAGTTTGAAAGTCCTTACAGGTGTCACTAGTTTCCATCAGTTTGTAGGGGCTACACGCTTTGCCGCGGCGCTAGTGTCGCGTGTCTAGCCGCATGAGCAGCGGTGTCTTTCCATCCAGCTCAGAGATGCCAGAAAAGCACCGTCGGGTGCACACGCACACATGCCAGATACCGTGAGCTCGTGGAGTTTCGGAAAGTCGACAAAGGCAAACTGACGCATGCCCTCTTTCTCGATTCTCCGAAGCTGCTCGAAGTAATTTCGGATCGCCTCGTGGGAGTCGAGAGAGAAAGGCTCACATTTGCCTTCTCGCTCTAAACAACTGAAATCCGACCTCTCGTCAACGGCATACGATTTGGATTCTCGAGCCGAGATTCTCGACTGCCCAGGCATTTTTACTTTCCGACCTATGTAGGCGCACATAAGCAAAGCACGTTTTAAGAACTCCTGATCATATTTTAATTATTGAAAAAAAAGAAATTTTTTTTTATTCCCATGTATGAGCACATATATGTATGTATATTATTAATACGATTTTTGAAAATCAAAATACTTTAAGATTGAAAATTAATAAATTAAAATGAGATTCCACTCTTTACCAATATTGTGCATGCTGTGGTATTTTTCAATAAGAAGAGTTCTTACTTTTATAACATAAACAAAACAGTAGAATTAATAATTGCAGAAATTAATTAATAATGATTTTCCTCGATTGTTTTGAAATAACCGTATCAATTGGTTATGACGAACTAAATAGAACTAACTAGAAACAAAGGAAAAGTGATCCCGTTTGCCAGTTTAATACAAAGTATGGGTTGTATCTTAAATTTTAAAAGGACATAGTCGAATATTTTTAAAGGTACAAAACATAGCGTTTCATTGTAGAACAGTAACATAAGTTAGCAGGTAATGTCATAAAACTGTTTTTCCCAGCTATATCCCTTTTTACCTGAAGTATAAGGTAAAAAGTACGAGCTACAAGGTACGACAATCCGAAAATCGTTCACATTTTATCAATGTAAATGAAGCGGCCTTTCCATCAGAGTTAAATACAAAATTTTGTAATTTCTGTGAAAACGAAACTTTCAGTAAATGTACGTGGTGCTTGAAATTTTTATGTTTTGACTGTTTTTGTGAAAAGTACCATCCAGATTCATGTACTTCGTACATTGAAAATAACATATGTTAAATGTAATCGGTTAAATTTAACTTTAAAAAAAAATATTCGAAGGTCAGACAAAAATATAATGTCATATTTAGTGTACGATTAAAGTATGATTGAATAAATAAAAAAAAAAAGTTCAAGCAGGGTTCGAACCAGCAGAGCAGAAGAAGTTCGGAACTTGCAGGCAAAGACCTCATCACTCACGCCACGCTGATTAGTGGTGAACATAGTTCTATTTCTGAAAATAAGTACCTGTAATAACTTTAATAATATCTCAAAGTAAAACCTAACCCAAAACCTGGTACCATTCCAACTTTTCCTTGTTAGAAACGAGTTTTCAATTTGTCTTAGCGAAAATCGCAATCACATTTTGCACATTATTCTAAAACATTTGTGATATTCGTTTTCAATGCGATTTAAGTAAGCATGTAATGTATAAGATTTCATTTAATTTTTTCTTTTCTAGAGAAGATAGAGAAAAAGTTTATATAATTTTTTTTATATAAAATTTAATTCGTCCTAAGATTTATATGAAACATTTAAAAGATTTTTTATACATTATGCCTATATATCGGAACAACTATGAAACAAGAGGTATAATCATTATTATCCATGGACTGATTATAGTCAAAGTCTAACCGGACTTTGAAATGAGAACATAAAACTTAAATTTAAAGTTTCATTTAAATTCATTTAGCTATTTATACTCAATCGTATTAATAATACATATACATATGTGTGCTCATACATGGGAATAAAAAAAAATTTCTTTTTTTTCAATAATTAAAATATGATCAGGAGGTCTTAAAACGTGTATTTCCGTAAAATAAATTTTACAAAATTTTTTTTTCATTATGGATACTTTGCTTACGTGCGCATACATAGGTCGGAAAGTAAAAATGCCTGGGCAGTCGAGAATCTCGGCTCGAGAATCCAAATCGTATGCCGTTGACGGGAGGTCGGATTTCAGTTGTTAAGAGCGAGAAGGCAAATGTGAGCCTTTCTCTCTCGACTACCACGAAGCGGTCCGAAATTACTTCGGACAGCTTCGGAGAATCGAGAAAGAGGGCATGCGTCAGTTTGCCTTTGTCGTCTTTCCGAAACTCCACGAGCTCACGTACGCGTATCTAGCATGTGCGAGTGTGCACCCGAAGGTGCTTTTCTGGCATCACTGATCCAGCTTCCTGGTTTCCCGGCGGTTTAGGCTGCAGCCTAGTTATTTACTAGGCCATAGGCCATAATCCTACAAGTTTACTCTTAGTATAGCTAAATATTGTCGATTGTATTTATGCTTTGTTAGAATCTGTCATGTTTGTATTTTTGGGGGAATATGCTAATATTAAATTACATTTTGTTAATATTTGTTGTTTGGTCAGGTCGTTGCGAGGAACAACATTGTTCCATCGACAATGCAGAATTTTGTAACGATGAGAAAGAAATTAATGTGTACAAGAAAGGTATTTACATATATTTCATAAATAGTCCGGTGCAGCAGTATTAAAAATTGTTTTTCTCGATAGTTTTAAATGAACAATACAATAAATATTATCATGCGATCGACGAAGCCGAAAAAACTTACGAGTCGTGTAATAATACGAACAACGGATGCTATAGAGATGTTATTATATCTGATTTAAATCCTTTTAGAGAGAAAGGTATAAACAAGGATCTAGTGAATACGGCAAAAAATAGGTACAGAACAATTGTAAATCCCGCGATAATTTTCGAGAAGTTTAAATTTATGTCCTTGTAGAGGAACATTTTATCAAATAATACAAGGAAAGGTGTACAGACAAAAGGATTGCATGTTTCCATCAAGATGTTCAGGAATAGAGCATTTTCTTCTAAAACTTGCTTCTGATTTACCAGATGTGGATTTAGTAGTAAATACACGGGATTATCCTCAGTCAAGTAAATATTTCGGTGGTCCATTGCCCATTTTCTCGTTTAGTAAGGTAAGTTAAATATTAATAAACACTTTATGTATAATAGAATTTATTTAAAGCCATCGTATTTTATAAATTTATTCTTTGTATTAATCAAAATTTTCGAGTGTTAAAAAATGTATTTATAGACGCCACAATATTATGATATTACATATCCAGCATGGTCATTTTGGGAAGGTGGTCCAGCAATTTCTTTATATCCTCGTGGTCTTGGAAGGTGGGATGAACATCGTATATCTTTAGACAAGGCCAGCAATAGCACTCCATGGAAAGAGAAAAAAGATAAAGGGTTTTTTCGAGGCTCTAGAACAAGTTCAGAACGTGATAATTTAATACTTTTGAGCAGAAGTAAACCAGATTTAGTAGATGCTCAATATACAAAAAATCAAGCATGGAAGTCCAACGAAGTAATAATTTTTTATTCCTGCATTTATGTATGGTCGTATAAATTATATAATTTTATGTTTTATTGCAGGATACACTGTTTGCACCTCCAGCTACTGAAGTTTCTTTTAATTCTCACTGTGAATATAAATACTTATTTAACTATAGAGGCGTTGCAGCATCATTCAGGCACAAGCACTTATTTTTGTGCAGATCTTTAGTATTTCATGTTGGGGACGAATGGACTGAATTTTATTACAATGCAATGTTACCTTGGATTCATTATATACCTGTTCCTAAGGATGCCAATCAAACAGTATTAGAGTAAGATATTAGCCAACTTTAATTGTGAATATATGATAAATACTTTGGCACAAAGCATGGTATCTGTGATATTGTTTTATGCATTCAGGGAATTGATACAATTTGCAAAAAGTAACGACAAGTTGTCCAAGAAAATTGCAGATCGTGGAAGGGATTTTATATGGGATAATTTGAAGATGTCCGACATTGTACAGTTTTGGAAAAAACTTCTGTTAAGGTATTCTAAACTTTTAACATATAAAGTTAGTTTAGATACAAGTTTAATCCAAATTAAGTCAAAGGGAAAATTTTAATAATAGTACAACATGCATTTAATATAAATAACTTTATATATATTTTTATTAAAATTTCAATGTTACGATGTAAAATATTAATTAATAAAAATAATTTAATGTTAAGTGGATGTCTATTAAATCTTCAAAATAAACATCGGTTAAAATGAACATGTACGTTTTATTGATACAGTATGTACAATATCAGGGCATAGCACAATGTGGCAAGTTTCAATATGAATCATTTTATTGCCCTGACAGAAGATCTAATGCAAATAAAGGCCTTGTACATCGCACCGTGTTAATGATATGCTGCATTTATGTATAAAATTCAAATTTTAAACAATGATAATATAAAACTTTGCGTGTGTTGTAGGTATTTGTTTTTTTAAACAATTTATTTAACAATCATTAGAAAACTGTACAAGGCTTTTTGTGCTTCGTTCATTCTTATATACTAGGTAATTCTTAAGTACGCAATTATTTATTTATAACAAACTTACAGAGATATTCCTTAGAATATAAAGAAACATATGGTAATGTCATTAATGTTTCTACAATTGTATATGTATACTATGAATTGTAAATACTTTTCACGCCTTTACTACAGTAATTGAAAGTTATTTAACTATTTTTTTATTCTTACCCTAAATTTGAAGTAACATATGAAAGAGAGATGTCTTGAAAGACCTAATTCATAGTATACTTATATTCACGTAGCGCGTACAACATACACTATACATTATTGCTTTTAATGTCATTTTGGTTTCAAAGCATAATACAGATAATTAGTTTATTTTCAAAATAATAAAAACTATTGTTCTCGCGTACTATATTAAATCTCACATTTCATAACATTGTCATCAGAAATTAATATGTACCTATTATTAATATTATTTATTATAACGTTTTACTACATAATGAGACATACTATTGAAATGAAAAGAAGCTTGTCGAAAGAAATGGAAAACGGTATATATAAGATAAAAGAATTTGCAAGTAAAGAATCGTTTGTGCGGACAAAAGTAAAGTGAATAGTTATAGCAATTATTCTTTAACCAATGTACCGATAACAACAAATTGTAGATATTTATACAAAAAAAGGGTGTACTTTATTACAAAGTTTTGAAGACATTTTAAGGCACTTGTACGGAAGATAAATATTTTTTTGGTACAGTTACTACTATGAGTATTACAGATATCTTTATATAGGTTTCAACAACTTTTTTCCAACCTTCTTGCTTCCATACATCCCGAGAATTATTTCTATTCTACGCGAGAAATAATAAAAATAAACTCTATAATACTCATAATACTGTCAGTCGAAAAACCAATTCACCGTTTTCTTTATTCGCTGTTTGTCGTGTCCCGATAAACCTTGGGGTCTCGTTGAAATTTATGTTTTGCATGAACCCGCAAAATAAGTGCCTTCGACGGTAACGTCTTTACAAACCATGATGTACGAATAAAGAATAAATAGGCAGTGTAAAAGGTTTGGTGACACATTATTGCATGCGACTTATAACATTATGTATAAACATATTTTACATGTAATTGTATACTTTACATATATACAGGATGCCTTGTAAGGTGCGTCGTATTTTATCGATTAATAAAGAAACTCGGAATAGTTGCGTAAATCGCACATCTCAAGACATACTGCAAAACACTTACAGTTACGATAAAGCAACTGGAATGATTGTTTCACGGGAGATTGAGGGGGGATAACGAACGAACTTTCGTAAACGTGTTCGTTAACCCAAAAAAAAAAGAATTAACGCACACGGTACGCGAGCATAAATTAGCACATTGCCGTTTTGGCACTGTTTTCCCTCTCCGTGCTCGGAGCACATTTAATACCACGGTTTCCCTGTTTAAAAGTTCAGTTCAAACGTTCCTTTCATCGATGATTCTGTCGCTCAATAATCACCGTCGAAAGATTTCTTTACGTAGTGGCGATTATTCTAGCGACGATTATGGTCATCAGATTGAGGGAAATGTACCACCACGTCGACGACGATTTGAAAACGCTTTCCGCCGCAGAGCCCGCGTCCTGATTGGAAGACGTGACTAGCTGCTCGTCCGTCTCGCCTGTTGAATTTTATAGAAAATCGTAGGAAGGGGCTTTACGATAGCTAAGAGAATCGTCGCTGATTGGATGGCTCACTGCGTCGGTCGCGCTTGCACAGTTTCGCGCGTGAAACAACAGAGGGTAACACGTAGGTTACAAATCGCAGTCTCAGGTGTTGTTTGGAACTTATTCAGTTTGCTTTGGATCAGTTTTCCCCGTTAAGGTCTGCTTCGTGAACCTGCCTCGTAATCTCGTATCTAAAGATATTTTATTTCCTTTGAAAATTTCTTGTTCCATTTTGCTGCCTTCTAACCCGAGTTTACGACCCAACGATTCCTCGAACAAACAAGTTTTTCATTCTCGTTCGTTCACTTTTTCCCGAACCCGCGCGATCCCGAGTGTAGAGCGTTGTCCTCTGGAAAAAGTGATTTTTTTTCCGAGTTAATGGAAAACCGCGACTCTTGGCGACCGCAGTTCTCGCAGCCCCGTATTTGCGTCGAAATCTGTTAGTGCTGTACCGCGTAAGGATTTTACCACCGACGTGTCAACATCGCGTTTCGCTAAATCTGAATAATTATAATGCATAATCGTATATCGGCCCGTAAGATTTTTGTGCCTATTAAAATTCTCCTCGATCAAACTTTGGAATGAAAAATTTCTCTTTATACTTTCACTGCGATTTAATCTTGAACAAATCGATAGATATCTCTACCTCGAGAAAGAACAAACTGTATTAACTGCGTGTACATATTTGTATCACCGTGTTGGGATGATTCGAAACGAAAAATGTGCGTCAAACAGAGTCAAATCAAAACGATAAAGGATTCTTAAAATAGGGAAGATTGCAATAAAAAAAAAAAATATCTAACGAGAGCCTCGGAACCCACGAAAAGATTCGTGAGAAGCTTTCCTCCTTTTCAACCTTATACGACGAAATAATCAGCTCGTTCTCGATTTACTACACTTTTTACTTTGAATATTTTTGTACTCTGACACGTGTCTCTTTATTTTTGAGATTCACCAAAAAAAAGTTGATTGAAAATGACGACTCCACTGCTGTGGCTTCCCGTTGTTAAACGTAAATTCATCTTATGTTAAAATTCTCTGAAAGCAACAAAACGTGATGTTTGTAGAAACAAATCGACAGAATCGTAATTTTTTTAGCGCACAAAAATCTTTTGTGATTAACATATACAAGGTGAGCCACGGGCTGTTTTCGTAAATAATATTAAGGATGGCGAAAATGTTTAAACTTTCCGTATCTTTTAATTATCGCTACGACGTATAAATTTAATGACGTTCTGTACGGCCCACGTTGTATAGTAATATTCTTTAAAGAGAAACAAGCTACAAACGAAAAAGAATTCCCGAAATATTGTATCAGAATACAGTTTAGAGGAAAATTCCTACATTTCCAGTAGCTTCCACATAAACCTTACCAAATGAAACCACCCGAAAAAGTAGAATGGGTGCAAAGGGAGACCGAAAATTTGACATGCCCTTGTACCAAACGATTCCTCGTCTAACGAAACCATTAGGATTGAAAGTAGAATAATCGTGCATTTGTAAACCGTGTATATGAGAAGTAAACAAATAATACGTGCACGCGAAAGTGGAGATGGGTAGAAAAGAAATCTTGAACGAAAGAACAAAGAATCGTAGGGAGTGCGATAACACATGAAAGAAATAAACGAGGACGGGTACATCAAGGTCGATGTTGTTTGGGTTCGAAAGATGGTTAGGGAGAGAGAAGTAGATGGAGACATCGTCCTACGGTAGATTAAGTTCCAAACAACGTGTAACCGTATTCCGTACAGTTTTTATCATGCACCTCTTTTATTTCACACTCGAGTGTAGACACGTGCATGTTACACACACGTTTCTGTGCGTTTCGTGCTGTGATACATCCTTCGCGTGTGGTTCGTGAAAATTCGTAGTTCGTGCAAAACTATCAGTGAACGTATAGTTATGAGATATACAGTTTCATTTAACCTCTTCAGGGACGATTCTTTTTTTTTCCTTCTTTTTTTTTGTCTATTTATTATTGACAATAACTATAATTATACTAAACGTCCACATATGTGGCCAAGGGCGTGAAGAGGTTAAAGAAGACTCGTCCAAAAGCGAAGCTCGTTACATCGTTTTTTCTCCCATCATGCAGAAGTTGTTAAAGAAACAAGGGTACAGATTTTTGTTAGAACAATTATATCAGCTATGTATATTTCACGCGTTTAACTTGATTAATAAGTTTATAGGACGATAACGACGTATCTTGGACGAGTCTATCCTCGACGTTAAGGTAAAATACCATTTGGCTCGTGACGTTATTCGAAGCGATTAGTAAACGTAAAATAGAGTCACTTTGTGCAAAATAGTACATTATTTTTTTCTTTACAGTTTTAAGCTACACAGGTGGTGTTAGACGAATAGTGTTAGTAAAATGGTGACGTGCAACAGTGGAATTCGTGTCGTATGCGATTAGCGGTGATTCCTCCCCGTGAATGAATGTTAGGAATGGTAACACCGAAGGGGGATGTACGGTACACGGAACAGCCAGAAGAAGTAAGAAGACGAGGACAGAAATACGAGAACGCAACATAAGTAAGAATACGCAATACACTAGGAAGTTCGTAGTGCGATTTCGTGAATAAGCGAGACGAAACAATAAACGAAGAAATATGAGAAACAGGGAAAGCTTAACGTTGTAATATTTACTGTTCTTTTTCGGCAAACTGGGCCCGGCGACGGTGACTGATGATATTTCAGGGTTTATCCCCCTCTCGTGTACGGTGTTTCAAATACGAGTAACTGCTATTTTTTTTTTTTCTTTTCTTTTATCAGAAACGTAAAACTTCATTTGCCGCCTGGCTAGTAGATACTCTGGGCGATCACACGTGTTCAAAGACTTTGCTTAAAAGTCTGGAATTGCGGGGAGGGTGATCGCGTTTGGACTCGACTCTAGGAGGACTTCCGGCGTTTCGACTTGTTCCGTGCGTTTCTACTTTTCATTGTGCAACATTTTTACAATTAAATAGTCGATCATATTTATCGGATACCAACCCATCTGGCAAACAGAATGATGTGTACACTGAATACAGATTTCCTATTTTTACTTACCCCCTGTGGATAGTAAAGATCCACCTAATTAAAATACGACAAAATTTAAGTTCTTGCGAGTCTGGTTTAATCCCAAAGATTAAACACAGCGGAAGTTATCCTAGGAGTGGATCGGATTTTAGCGAAATGATAATTTTGCATATTGGCAGGAATGGAAATAATATTTTTCATATTCAGGAATATTAAATTTCTTGGTATTACTGCCGATTTGCGTACATTTAATGGGGAATGAATAAAGACAAAGTAATCACGGCGTATGGAAGCGATTTTACGTACTTGTAAGCAAATTAATCGAATGATACGTATGTGCTGTGACATTGAGAATATGACGATAATTGATCGATTCGATTACAGTTACTTTTCGGCTTTAATGATACCACCACCACCATGTAATACCCAAATTAAGTGATTAACGCGTTTTTGAATTTTTCTATTCACCGAAGAAGTTTGTGCAAACAACCTGTATTAACGTAGTTAATCGAAGTAATCGTAGCGTCGTTCATTCATTGTTGTAACTGTAAACTCACTATGGATACTGAAGTGCAATTTATGTTTTATGATTACATGGACTTGTTATGTATGGAAAAGCTATCGAACGAGAATTGTTACTGTTTTTCTCGCGTTGTTCTATTTTGAATCTCTGTGTAGCTTGTTCTCCGTGCATTATACAGGGTGTTCGGCCACCCCTTGGAAAAATTTTAATGGGAGATTCTAGAGACCAAAATAGGACGAAAATCAAGAATACCAATTTGTTAATGGAGGTTTCGTTAAAAAGTTATTAACGTTTAAAGTTCCGCCTGTACTGAATTTTTTTCTAGAAAGTGGGTAGGATTTCGGGGGTAGGTCTATTTACCAAAAATTATTGTAATTGACCCCCGCAAACGAAAATAATTTTTCCAGAACGATTTGAAAATTTTTTTTTTTCGTCGAAAAGCAATTACTGAATTTTTTTCTTGAAAGTGAGCAGGAATTCGGGGGTATGTGTATTCACCAAAAATGATTGTAATTGGCCCCCGCAACCGAGAATAATTTTTTTAGAACGATTTGAAAAATTCTTTTTTCGCCGAAAAAAGTACCTATCTGAATTTTTTTCTCGAAAGTGGATAGGATTTCAGGGGTATGTGTATTCATAAAAAATGATTGTAATTGACCCTCGCAACCGAAAATAATTTTTCCAAAACGATTTGAAATTCTTTTTTTCGTCGAAAAATTCAGTACCTTTCCGAATTTTTTTCTCCCAAGTGGGTAGGATTTCGGAGGTATGTGTATTCACCAAAAATGATTGTAATTGACCCTCGCAACCAAAAATAATTTTTTCAGAATGATTTGAAATTTTTCAATTAAATTTTTTAATAACTTTTTAACAAAGCCTCAGTCAAGAAATTGATATTCTTGATTTTCGTTCTATTTTTGCCTCTAGAATTCCCCATTAAAATTTTTCCCAAGGTTGGTCGAGCACCCTGTATTTTGATGAAAATTACATTTTCAAACAGAGATGGAACAAGGGAATAACCGCGTTTGTTCTCTTTTATCACATGCACAAATTTCCTCGATGGATGGAAGCCCTAGGTATGTAGTAGCCAGGTGTTCGAGACATCAAATACTGTATTCTCGTCTTTTATAATTTGTAATTCACTTATTCCCACTTCAGATTCCTATACAGAGTTGGAATAAGTTGAAAGTTTCAGTTTGTCCACTTCTACAAAGGCCACTGTGCTTACAATTTATTTACTCATTCAAGTAACACTCTGCCATGCAAAATTTTGCTGGACAGTTAGCCCTTTGATTCTGCTTTGGAGGGGAAAAGTTAAAAGTCCGAATCTATTTTTTATTTATATTTCGAGTTTTCTTCTCCAATGCAGATATAGGAAGACGATTATCTAGAAATTATTAGTTACCATTGTATATTTTAGCAGTCTATTGATATTTAAATAACTATATTTATCACAGTCTTCTTTCACAATTATTTTTATTACACAGAAGTAGACCACTGAAACTTTTCTAAGACGAGGTAAGAATTTGGTTCGACTCCAATGAAGCTTTAGTACCTGCGTCTAGAATGATGTCTCCTACGTCACCGTTTCTGTCACCGTCGTCCTCAAAGTCACCGCCGACGGTTTCCAGGATGCCGGAATTCGAGAACGCGTCTTCAGGATTATCGCGTAGCCATTGGACATTACCTAATGTTCCTTTGTTTGCAGATCTGCACCCGAACCACCAGTAGGCCGTCGACCTTGGAAACGCCGGATCAGCAACGTCCACCTGAAGCATCGCCAGAAAAAGCTTATTCGACCATTTTCTTGAATTATTCAAAATCATTATGAGTCGAATCTACCCATACTGATGCAAGCTTTAATTTATTCCCACTTAGGAGGAGTTGCTGAATTTAAAGTATCGTGGAAACTCTAACAACACACTCTATCATAGGCCAGATAGAAAAGAGCTAGACGATTCAAAGTAAGCTTATTCGACCATTTTCTTGAATTATTCAAAATCATTATGAGTCGAATCTACCCATACTGATGCAAGCTTTAATTTATTCCCACTTAGGAGGAGTTGCTGAATTTAAAGTATCGTGGAAACTCTAACAACACACTCTATCATAGGCCAGATAGAAAAGAGCTAGACGATTCAAAGTAAGCTTATTCGACCATTTTCTTGAATTATTCTAAATCATTATGAATCGAATCTACCCATACTGATGCAAGCTTTAATTTATTCCCACTTAGGAGGAGTTGCTGAATTTAAAGTATCGTGGAAACTCTAACAACACACTCTATCATAGGCCAGATAGAAAAGAGCTAGACGATTCAAAGTAAGCTTATTCGACCATTTTTTTGAATTATTCTAAATCATTATGAGTCGAATCTACCCATACTGATGCAAACTTTAATTTATTCCCACTTAGGAGGAGTTGCTGAATTGGAAATATCGTGGAAACTCTAACAACCCACTCTACCAGATACGAGAGAGCTAGACGAGTCATTCTGGTAAATACCTGAGTTAATTTACCGAACGTGGATTTGTCAGTATGCTTTATTGCGTGTAAAGATAAAGCACTTACGGAGAACGTCCTGTCGTTGAATCGGTAATAAGCGTCGCCCTTGAAGAAGTACGTGTAACCGCGATAAACGATCGAGGCATCGAGATTATCCGGGATGCCTTCCCAGTTCGAGGTCAGCTTAGGATACGTGTTCTTCACCGGTGGTTTCTGCGCAGGGTCGAACCTCCAGAATTTGGTGCCCTTGTAGAAGTAGATCTTGCCGTTTCCGGTCCACACGGTCGCGGTATCGATGTTGTCCGGAATTCCTGTGAAACCTTCGCTGATCTCCTTCGGGTAATCTCCATCCATTCTCTTGCCCACGTATCTCCAATATTTCGAACCCTGTTACAACGAAATTGCTCTCAGAAATTGATGTATTATAGTCTCCGCTGTTTCTCTTTTCCAATCTCGAAATTCTATTCATCTTAAAACATTTAGCTGGCTGTAGAAGAGACAGCAATCGTAGCAATGATATAGAAGTTAGAAAGATGAAGCACTAGTAGATGAATTGGATAGGTTTGCAACAGTTTTCTTACCTTGAAGAAGTAAGTCTTTCCGTTCTTGTAAGTGAAGGCAGCGTCTATGTTCCCTGGCAGACCTTTCCACGAATGAGAAATGAATTTCGGATAGCCCACCGCCACGCCGTCCGCGGTTAATCTCCAATAACGATCACCTGAAGACAAATGCAATTCAGACATTTATTCCAATCTGAAATCTTCGACGTTTCTGTCCACGTTCTTCTATAATTGTAATTCCAACACTCACCTTTGAACACATACATGTGCCCCTCCGCCGAGTTGAACATTGTGTCGACTTTTGGGTCCGTGCACAGTTCCGAGTCTTCTTCGCTAGGCGGCGCGGAAGTCGTCGTTCCGAATTTAGGCCCAGTCGGGATTCCACCGGTGTTCACAGTCTTCTTTCCGTACAAAGCCTGCGGCAAATCCACACAAAAGTCTAACCGATATAAAAACTACTGGATTAAATCTAGATTGAATCTAAATAACGTCTATCGTACCTTCAAATTGCAGAGTGAGGCGGGACAGTTTCATTGATCATTGCTTAGCGCTTACCTGAATACCCTGGATGTCGTCGTCGTCCAACCGGAAGTAGCGCTCGTAGCCGCGATAGAAGGGCGCCATAAGGGCGCTTTTGACGTCGCTGTGGCTCAGACCGAGGGAATGACCGAACTCGTGGGCGGCGACTTGGAAGAGATTCGTACCACGGAAGCTGTCGATGGTCCACAGTTCGGCGTCGTCGAAATGGGCATCGCCACCGTAAACAGGGAAGTAAGCGTGGGCCAGAGTGCCGCCGCGTCCATCGAAGGGATCTCCGTCACCGTGTTCGCCAGTCTCGAACTTGATCTCGATGTGGACCTAAAAGCGAGGTACGATTTAAAAATCTGCTACTTTAGAAACTTTCCTGATAGGCCTACAACTCTTGTTTCCCCCCAGGTAAATAGCTCCCGACTCACCTGGCCCGATTTCTTTTGGACGAAAGTGAGATCCGTGTAGTCCGACCACACTTTGAACGCTTTGCTCAGCTCGGTGTCGACTTTGTGCTGCGGCAAAAGTTGCGGATACTTGCTGATCTTGTACGTCAGTTTCTTTACGCGCCATCTCGAGCCTACGCATAAGCGACGACGATGAAGAAACGGGAATTGTATTTACGGCACTACGGTGTGAACAGCAACGACGTTTCCTTTCTCTCGAACGATCGTCACGTTTAGCGCCAACCTTCGATCGCGACGCGCTCCGCACGCATTTATCATAATTTATCATTTTTATGGAGAACATCTTCTCCGCTCCGCGATGTCCATTTATGTAACGATCGCTACCGCGAGTGGCAATTATTGTTCGAGCGTCTTGTTCGTTCGTTGTGCAACGATTTATTTTTAAACGCGTGGATCGCGGTGGATGGACACGTTGCTCGATTTCGATTCGCTGAAGATTAGTTGAATCGTCAAGACCCACTTTGATAGAACGTATATTATTTTTACTAGAAGAATTTCAGTCGGAACTTTTCTTCTTTAGCTTTGTTTTGTATATTTGTATTTACGATCCGTTAGGTAGGTTGATAACGAATTTGTTAAATGAAGGCGACCGATAGAGAAAGTTTGGGAACCGCTGCTCCAGTGGGTCACAGTTAGTCCTCCGTATTACGCGGATAGAATTCCGGTAGGATTCACGGATCGGTGATTCCGTCGCCGCGGGTACGTTCGATGAAAAGCAGGAATGTTCACGCGAGGTTCAAAGTCACGGTTAGATCGAACCCCGCGACTATGTCCCCGCGATTCGATCGAGATCGATACGGCGGGTTAGGGCACGAGTACGATCGTTTGGAATGCGTCGTTCATCGATGATTTCTTTTATTCCGGGAAACGTTCGTGATTAATTAACGCTGTCACGGGAAAACCAGTGATCGCAGGTAATTAACTGGCGTGACTAGCGGTCAAAGGGTAATTGGTATGACTACGGTCGAAGAAAGTTCGAGAAGAATTGTTTCGATTGTTCTCCGTGAATATGATCGTCGATTGTCTGGAAGCAGGGTACTTAGTAGGGCGATCGGAAATGTATTTGGAACAATTTCGATGCCTAAAAAAAATGCATTCAGAGTATCCGGCGAATAGCTGCGATACAGATGCGCGTGACCTGTTTAGGGTGACTGACTTCGCATTGACGACAAACTAGGCAGGAAGCCAAGAGTAACACCTGACTGTTAAACATTTCTTGCGCTATGAAAAACTGTCGCGTTGCAAAATGTAAATATTCTTTTGTTAGGATCGGGGTCTCGAAGAATTCATTTTTTGATCGAACTCAAGTATGTCGAGACGAACAGTTTGATAACTGTTATTATCCAACGTAATGTTAATGTGAATCTGTTTCTATGAGGTCGGATACGAAACGATAGCGAGCAGCTTCTGATTCTAACGTACAGATCACTGGCGATTAGATAATCAAATACTCGATCGAATGTTATGTCACGCGTTGAATCGCAGCTAAATCCAAACTTGTTTCTATATTATTGTTCTTTCGGTACTCTTTTCTAATTTAATTTTTATTCTATTTACCTTGAAGAGCATAACGCTTGGACCTTGCAAATCCGGGGCCAACTTTGTCTTTAACGCCACACCTCGGCAATGCCATCAGCTTGTAGGTCTCCTCGTCAAAGTCACCTGAAAACGAAACAATATTCTTAATAACACAGTTCACAATATAGTAGCGCATCTAGAAAGTCAACGAGACAAATGTGATTTGTAAAAATAATTTTATCAAGTGCTTCGTAGGCTGGTCTAATATTTATACTTGTTAAATTGTTAAGCCCTAAAACTGATACTAGTTAAGATATGTAATTCAAATTCTATGTTTCGCTCGACGAGCAATGTTATCTAGATGTTCGTGTTTTATAAAATGTAGCCCAACTCCGGCCACGAGAACGTTGTAAAATTTTCGCGCGGTTAGCACGAGCGTTCGTATCATTCGATTTCACGTAATCACAAGTTCAGATCGCAGGATCCGCGGGTATCGATCCCTCGGCTATGCCGCCACGCTCTATTCTCCATTCCCGATTCCGCCGTGCACGTGTGCGTTTCCTGTATCGCGGTGCATATGCATCAACGTAACATGCACGCGTATATGCATAATATGCGGAGCACGCGAAAATATCAAGCTCCTCGCACACTCGCGTACCAACCGGGAGAATACATTACTTTCAACAACCACCACGTTGGGGAGAAATAAAATATTTTTATCGAGGCAATTTACATAAAAATTACAACCTTCAGAATTTTTAACATTTTACAATTTTTATTCTCAGTTTCCAATTCAATTTTTAAACCGAGCGTTGTAATTTGTCTCTATTTTATTATAGAATTTTTTTATGTTTAAATCTTTCGTATCGTCTACCGATTCTGTACGATTATATGTAGGGTCAGAATTCGATCGAGTGTGCGGTCAGCTTTATCCGTCTCGCCACGTGAGAACGAGCCTGAACTGTGTTAGCGGCGGTCACGCGACTGGGAAGTTGTACGCTTATTAATGCCGGTTTGCGTGAAAATTGTAGCGTTCGTGGAACGATCGTGCAGATCGATTTGAATACGAAACGATCGAGTCACACCGGGCTCCGAATCTTGTTGCTTCCGACAGAGAAAAGCGCAGCGTACGGGCAGGTTTTTGCGTGAAACTTCGATCGTTGGTTGCGCAAACACGGTGAAACCTCGGTCGACGATGACAGAATTTCTTTCGTCTCGCAATAAGGCGAAAATGAGCGTCTAACGATTCGTTGAAATATTTTTTTTTTTTTCTTTCGCCGCGTCGAAACAACTTTGTCCACTCTTGTGAAATATTTTTCATAACTATCTGTTCTTTTTTTAGTGACTCTGTTACGTGCGGCCGTGTTACCGGAACCTCGACGCAGAGAGTCGATGGTATCCAGCGTTACTAGGAAGCACAGGATGCGTCGAGCACGTGGCAGAAGATTACTGTCAATAAACGCGTTTCATCTCGAATAATACCGTCACCGGCGGTGTACAATTTTATAGTTAGATAATTCTTCCGTTCACCTTCGTTTTTTATTGGCGACTATCGAATCGCCGCTTCCGACCGCGGATGCTCAGCTCGCTTGGATACGTTTCGTACCAGTTCTCGCTCGTTTCGCAACTACGCAGAGAACAGCGGCAATAGCAATATTTTATTCAGCGCGATAAAGATACGAGCTATTTTTTAAATTCTTATTTTAACCATTTTCCAATCGGTCGATTTCTTGCGGTTATTTTGTAAACGAAATCTCGTGATGTAATTTTGGGGTATCGCGAGTTAAAGAAACTGAGTTTACCATTGGTTTCTGGGGTCTGGATGAAGCAACAACGTCGGTGATCCAAGTAAAATCATTTCTTCGTGGTCACCGTTTCAAAGATAATCGACGTTCTGCTTCGAGATTACAATTCTCTAATAAAAACTGTATTGATCAATGCCTCAGGAAACGAGCACGCTTTTATCCTCTTCGATCGAGATAGATTTAATATTAGAGTTTGTTTTAATGATTTTCACACGCCTGATAAATGTTGAATCCGCAGTTCGAAGTTCGAATGGAAGAACGTGCCTTGGCAATAATGTTGTAGGCTGTGTGAATCATTTTGTTAAGCGCCACTGATGAATCTATTGCACATCACCGAACTCTGAGTCATCGTTCAGCATCATCTGCGTGAATCCAAAAGGGAGACCGTTTTTCGTTATTTTCTCACTTAAAATACACACGTCGTGTTCTCCACTGTGCCATTATCCTTTATACTCCAAGTAATTCTCATTTGTTCGTTTCAATTCTCGTCCTCATTCCCATCGACGACGTTATCACAAAATTGTTAAATATTAAAAATTGCATTCGAAGAAAACATTTTGCACAACCGTGTTTCAAACGTTTTTTTTTTATCGCGTAGCATAATTTTAACTACCCACATCCATAAATATGTATTTTTTAAAGTAGACTGTCCTGTTAAAAAAATTGAGTTATTTATCTTGTTACAAATCCAATGAATTATTTAAACTATACTCCTCGATATTTTGTCCTCGAATTTACTATTGTAAAGCGTTTCGTTGTTGCATCACCGACAGCAAGTTGTCTTCGCCGATAACGCTTTGTAATATCGGCGACATCGGTTCGAAATCCCCGCCGGAAGTAATAATCCGTTTAGATACAAAAGATTTTTGCGACAATGGGTGTGAATGAACCGTGTATAGAGATATTGCGATTTACGTTTCGACGTTATTATTCTCGATTATTAAGCGTATTACAAAGAGAGATTGTACAATCGATGACATTGAAAGGATATAAGTTTGTGATGCACGTTTAACTTCAGTCTAACCATATCAAAATTTTGGGCAAACTCTGTATACAGGGTGTCTCACCCGATTTTGACATCTTGATTTTCTCGCTATTGTTACTCGTAACAAAAAATGTTTCAGCGGAGTCTTGAATGGTATCGAGTGGAGTATATTCTGATGTTATTAGTTTTTTCGTGAGTGAACGCGTAAAGGTCATATAAAGGTCAACTTTGTTTTTTTAAATGAAATGAGGTATTTTTTAATACATCAATCGATTCAGCTGGACAATCGTTATAAAAAAGTACTAACTATGTAACGTCGAAAAATTAGTAGTTCAGGAGATATTTCAATTTAAATAATTCTAAAACACCATTACTGTTGTACTAAGACGTTAGCGTTTATTTACAGGAATGGTTCAACGGTAGGTGCGGTAGTAATGATGCCTTAAGAATTTAAATAATTTAAATTGAAATATCTCCTGAACTACTAATTTTTCGACGTTACATAGTTAGTACTTTTTTATAACGATTGTCCAGCTGAATCGATTGATGTATTAAAAAATACCTCATTCCATTTAAAAAAACAATGTTGACCTTTATATGACCTTTACGCGTCCACTCACGAAAAAACTAATAACATCAGAATATGCTCCACTCGATACCATTCAAGCCTCCGCTGAAACATTTTTTGTTACGAGTAACAATAGCGAGAAAATCAAGATGTCAAAATCGGGCGAGACACCCTGTATATAAAGTATGTACAAAGTCCCTGTTAGAGCAGAAAAATGTTCCACTGTCAGTTTTACAAATATTTAAATCAAATGTTAATCATGTATTCTTAAATGTGCATAAGAATCATCAATTTTTAGAATAATATACATTGTAGATCTGAAGAGGGTCACGCGCGATCCAAACGTCAATTAATTTAAATAGTTACGCGACTCCAATTGCTGTTGCTCGAAATAATGTACAAACAACGCCACTATTTGCGTTCTATTTAGCAATTTGTTTCTTTGTCCGTTCTCGTCGATCTTATTTGTCAAGTTTCAAGGCTCGAGCCTCGATGGTTCCGTTTTGTTTTAATAGCCTCAGGCCGCTAAACGGTTCACGCCAGACGCTTTGGGCGTCTCGGGTGATTGTTTGACGTTCGCTCGTCGATTTTCCCGGCGCTGTTTTTTTCGCTACCGATTTCTCGGTCGACCGTCGCGAAATTCCACGTGTTTTCGAGCGAACAGCCGCAAAGCAGCGTCCGCCGGCCCCTCAAGGTCTAGAAATGTAAAAATGGACTCTTTATTCAGAGCCGGTCGGACAAGTATCGGGGAAGATGCAAGTGCATGTTTTGCAGCCGAGGATTCGTAGAAACGAAATCCGTTTTCGAACCAACTAGCGTTCGACGCGAATTATAACGTCCTGTACCCGATTGAAATTCTCTTGGGAAATATTCTGCAATTTGATTTAAAAAATGTAGAACAATCGTGGTCGTTGGAGATTTTCGAGACGAATTGTTTCTTGACGGAGCGTCACGTTTCAAGGCTCGTAATGATTTTCACGGTTCGACTGCCATCAGAATTTTCTCCCGATTCCGTTCCCGGTGGAATAATAAAAATTTTCTCGGTAACTAGTATGACGTACGGAATGTTTTGACGTATAGGAAACGACTTTTGGAATCGGACTCTGATACCGTGCGTGATGCCTACCAATACGACTCGGAACAATTACTTCGATCCAGCAAATTTGATGCTGTACGCGAGCCTCGGTGAGTCAGCGGAGCACCGCGACACCGAACGAATGCATCCACTCGCATGATTCACGTACAAGCACCCACGAGAACTATTAAACTCAATTACGGTTAAATATAATACGGGGAGGCGATCGCAAGGACGTAAATAAACGTTAATTGACGATGGAGACGGAGTTCCGGAACTCCAGCCCCTTACAAAAATAGTGTAACTTGTACAAAAGTCGAAATACAATAGTCGAAAATACACCTATTCGTGTAAATAAAATTGTACAATCTTTAGGCGATCTTTATATTGACTGAAACTTAGCTTGTGAGGTATTTGTATTGAATTACACGTCCTCAGAATTTTTATGAAAGAACTTTAATTGTAAAATAGGGAGTATGCAAATAGCAATAGTCGAGAATATACAGGGTGTTTGGACACCTCTGGGAAAAATTTTAATGGGAGATTCTAGAGTCCAAAATAAAGCGAAAATAAAGAATACTAATTTGTTGATGGAGGCTTCGTTAAAATGTTATTAACGTTTAAAGTTACGTTTGTATTGAATTTTTTTGTAGAAAGTGGGTAGGATTTTGGGGGTAGGTCTATTTACCAAAAATTATTGTAATTGACCCCAGAAACCGAAAATAATTTTTCCAGAACGATTTGAAATTTTTTAATTTTGTCGAAAAAGTCCGCCTTCCTGAATTTTTTTCTTGAATGTGTGAAGGATTTCGAAGGTATATATATTCAACAAAAATGATTGTAATTGGTTCCCACAACCGAAAATAATTTTTCCAGAACGATTTGAAATTTTTTTTTCGCCGAAAAATTTAGCCTACCCCCTGCCGATTTTTCTTAGAAATTCGTTTTTCATTTTTAATAAATTTGGTTGGCGCTGTACAGAAAAGTTGTTTACCATTTTTTTGTAAGTATCCGTGAGCTCTATTTCACAAAAAAGGTTTCATTGAAATATATTCACTATTGTAGGAGTTATGGCTGTTTGAAAATTGAACCAGTTTTAGGGGGTTTTTCTCATTGTACGGTGTCAAGGAACAACTTTTTTAATATTGTTAGAATTTCTACGTATTCTCCACTAAAATACGCGTTGTTCCCATTTTGAAAAATTAAAATCCTTCATTCCGTTGAAAAGTTATGACGTTTTAAAGATACCCATGAAATTTCAGGGTAGGATTTCTGGTCTCACATTAGATTTTCGGTAAAGAATTTTTTTCTCGAAAGTGAGTAGGATTTCAGCTGTATGTCTATTCATCGAAAATGCTCGAAATTGACCCCTGTAACTAAATATAATTCTTTTAGTATGATTTGAAATTTTTTAATTTCGTCTAAAAATTTCAGAACTTACTCGAATTTTTTTCTCGAAAGTGGGTAGAATCTCAGTGTTATGTGTATTCACCAAAAATGATTGTAATTGAGCTCCGCAACCAAAAATAATTTTTTCAGAATGATTTGAAATTTTTTAATTTAATTTTTTAATAACTTTTTAATGAAGCCTCAGCCAAGAAATTAATATTCTTGATTTTCGTCTTATTTTGACGTCTAGAATCTTCCATTACAATTTTTCCCAGAAATAGCCGAACACCCTGTATAATAGATTCTCAGGGAAAATTTTATATTTGTATAAATAAAATTGTACAATTTTTGGGCGATTTTTATTATGACTGAAACTTATGTGGTACCTATAAATTACACATTCTTAGAATTTTTATAAAGGAACTATAATAGTAAAATAAGGAGTAATCGATCATTTTTAAGAAATTGATGATTGTAAGATGAGTTTGTAACGCTTACCTGTTATGTTCAATCCGGCGAAAGATTGGAACTCTGCGATTGCTTTGGATAGTGTTTCTTGCGATATGATTCCACCGCTCGTTGGATTTATAGGTTGCAGGTAACCGAAATGGGACAGGTAGTTCTGTAACGAGAAAGTCATTCATTACAATCCGAAACCACCACTTTTATTCAGTATTAATCAGAAAGAAGAATGTTATTATTTTAAAAGCTATTTGTACACCAAGAATGTGGTTCCATTTTAATTTACATATAATTTACAATTTTCTTGGCGCGGTCTGAAGAATTCTGAGCCAATCGGTTCGAATTATACTCCTCGTCGGAACAAGCGTGATACATACGCGTGGATTGTTATTACGCGTAATTCAGGGTGATATTACATTTACAGTACGGATTATCTTTTTAAAAGCGAGTCATCTTTCGTTCCACTTTTAGCATCCGTGCTCGATATCTATCTAGGTAAAATCGTACATCCGTTATCGAGAAAATCAAGATCTTATTATAGTTTAATAAATTTGTATAATCGATCGCAGGGGATCATGCGTGGAGTTTCGAGCGTTCGTAAACTGTAAATGGAGGAGACGACGATGCTCGAGGGGATTGACCCGACCGATGACGGTATTCGCGTTATGATACTGTTATTTAACCGCGTCGAGTAAAGGCAATTAATATTCCGGCGAATAGGACGTGCCGCGGTGTACGTGTTTCCGTTTTCCTTGTCTATCGTTCGGTGATGAACCACAGGATATTCTTAGCTCGAAAAAAGTTTCTTACGTTCGTTAAAACGTTTGCAAGTGCTCTATAAATTAAAAAAAATTTTAAACCACGAACAGTGTAATGCAAAATCTCCTGAGGCTACAAAATATTTAATTTTTCACGTTTCTATATTTCCAGGCAAAGTTATTCACTTTCTTCGAATGTCGAGAAAACATCTGCGAAAGGAAGGGACTCCAAGAATTGGAAATAATGAAACGTTTGCAATTAAGTGCTCTATAAATTTTTAAAAATTTTAACCCACGAACAGTGTAATGCAAAATCTCCTGAGGCTACAGAATATTTAATTTCTCGCGTTTCTATATTTCCAGGCAAAGTTATTCACTTTCTTCGAATGTCGAGAAAACATCTGCGAAAGGAAGGGACTCCAAGACTTGGAAATAATGAAACGTACGGGGGCTCTCTTGTGGACAGACTGTTTTTTGCCGCGAGACGATTATCCTGTAATGGGCAAAAAACGCGACAGTGCAAAAAGATAATGGCACGTTGCTAACACGATTAACAAAAAAAACTACTCCGTAACGTGACGCGGTCGTTTGAGGACGTTGACGAGTTAAATATGGCCGCAGGAGTGCCTACTTTATGCCTGCATAATTTATCCGCGCAAAACAAGGTACGGGTTTTTAATTCAAATGCGGTTTCTTCTGCGAATACGTCGTTACAGAAATCCAGTATCACGTGCTCCAAAACGTATTCTCAAAATATTCTAATTTACATCGTTTGTCTCGGATAGGATTGAAAAAATTCATGAACTTGGACCTAAGAAGACGTGACAAAGATGGTATATTATAAATTAAGTATCTTCAACACTATTTTGTACTTATAATTTCATCCCCAATTAAAAGTATAACGTTTTTAGGTTCGTGCAAGAGTTAAATCAGAGTGTGTTGCTGTGTGATTCATCGTTTCCAGATTCCCACAAGTAGATCAACCTGACAGTGCACGCTCCGCAGCCACTAAATTCACTCCGAGAGCGAACGATACGTACGGTAAGCAATAAAATGCATAATGAAAAAGCAATCGCAGCCGCGAACGGCGTGCAGTGAGTGTAAAGTTATTCCGTGAGTCACAGTCGCACGATGGAAGAGCGGATAAAGAAGATATTCATCGGAATATTCGATTCGTACGGAGTAATTCAGTGCATCTTCGCTCCACTCGAGCCACTGTCGCAAATCCGTTAAGACGGAAGCCTTGAACGGCCATGATTCAGCATTGAAATAAGCTCTATTGTGTCTCCTGCTCGAGTAGCTCGTAATTGGTCGGTGCAATTGACGTTTAAGATATTTTGGACCTCCGTTTCTCAGAACCAAGACGCTTGGAAAACCAGCGGTTATTTTACTTAATGTCTTTGTGGTACAATTATGCAAACATCGTCAAGGGCTGAAAATTTGTCAAGCTTTGTATTTTGATTGACAGTCCCTCGTTTGTCAAATAGGTAGAATAGTAATTTAAAAATAATTATTTCAAACAAGCTCGATTAGTCAACTTTTGGCAGTCACCGTGAAATTCTTGGTATTAAAAAGCAGATTACTACGAGTATTATTTTAAACGCAGTGGTCGATCCTTTCTAAACAAACAGAATTTATCTCTTCGAGCTTTCTCGAGCCTCGAAGATCGTTATGTAAATCAATCTGCTCTCGTGGGATGAAACGGTTCAGTCTAGTGCTTCACTTGGACGAAAGTAAACATATTGTAATTCGCCTAAAGACGAGCCCTGGGAACGCGATTTCAAGTTACTGTTACAGTAATAGAATTCAGCTCTAAATTCTTCGAATTAAAAAAAAAATAGAATATTATCTCAAATCCAGTTCGAAGAGATCGAGTTAAATTCCCATGCAATTATGGAAGATTTTCACCGATCAAACTGGGATTAAATCGATCCTCTGGAAAGCGTAGGCGTATTCCTGTTAACAGCTCGTTAAAGATGGAGGTTCCCCGCGGTAGATTGCGATCCGCGTATCCGGAGTCAATGATTCAAACGCTTCCGTGTCTTACGAATCTCGTGATTCCTCGCGAGCAGCATGGCTTCCAGGAACGGCGAGATTTTTATGAATGAACGTAAGTGGAATGCGCGCGCTCGTACTCTAGCTCGTGTGTCACGCGTGAATGGACACTCCTTCCGACGCTCGCGCGAGTCGGACGAACTACGATTCTGAATCATCGATGTCGTCCCCCGGGTATTTCGATTGTGATTCGACGTAATCCAAGGATCTCGCGTTGTCTTCCAGCGAAAGGAAACGCCGCGTTCGTTCGACCCGCGTGGGCGAAGATAAGAGGATCGCTGTCTCGCCAACAAAACTCTCTGTCACGAGTTCAAGCACGCGTCTGCATCGTTCTATTTCGCGACAGAGATATGTCCATACTATATCACCCCAGGGAAAAATTTTTTTCGAGAGGCCAAAATGGGACGAAAATCAAGAATACCAATTTCTTGACTGAGGCTTCGTTAAAAAGTTATTAAAAAATTTCAAATCGTTCTAAAAAAATTATTTTTGGTTGCGGGCCTCAATTACAATAATTTTTTGTGAATACACATACCCCCGAAATCCTACCCAGTTTCGAGATAAAAATTCGTTACCAAAAATATAATGTCTGATCATGAGTGAATGATTTCCCTGAAATTTCATGTTTTTCAAATCGTTCTAAAAAAATTATTTTTAGTTGCAGGGGTCGATTATAATCATCTTTGCTCATTACACATACCCCTGAATTCCTACGCATTTTCGAGAAAAAAATTCCTTACCGAAAATTTAATGTGAGGCCAGAAATGTCATGCATCTCTTTAAATTGTCATAACTTCTCAACGGAATGGAGGATTTCAATGTTTCAAGCGGCAAACAACGCGTATTTTGGCGAAGAATATGTAGAAATTCTAACAATATTGAAAAAGTTGATCCTTGACCCCGTAAAGTTAGAAAACCCCTATAAAAATGGTCCCAATTTTCAAACAGCCCTAATTCCTGCAATAGTGAATATATTTCAATGAAACTTTTTTCTGAAGTAGAGCTCATAGGTACCTACAAAAAAATATTAGACCACTTTTCTGTAGGGCGTCAAACAAAATTACAAAAAATCAGAAACGAAGGTTTAAGAAAAATCTGCAGGGGAGTGGTGCCTAAATTTTTGGACGAAAAAAAAAATTTTAAATCGTTCTGAAAAAATTATTTTCTTTTGCAAGGGTCAATTATAATCATTTTTGATCATCAGACATACCCTCGAAATCCTACCCATTTTTGAGAAAAAATTTCGAGAAGTCGTGAAATTTTTCGACAAAATTAAAAATTTTCAAATCGTTCTGGAAAAATTATTTTCGGTTGTAGGGGCCAATTACAATAATTTTTGGCCAATAGACATACCCCGGAAATCCTACCTACTTTCAAGAAAAAAATTCAGTAAGAAGTGCCTAAATTTTTCGACGAAAAAATAAATTTGAAATCGTTCTGAAAAAATTATTTTCGTTTGCAAGGGTCAATTATAATCATTTTTGATCATCAGACATACCCTCGAAATCCTACCCATTTTTGAGAAAAAAATTCGAGAAGGCGAAACTTTAAACGTTAATAACTTTTTAACGAAGCCTCCATCAACAAATTACTATTGTTGATTTTCGTCTTATTTTGGCCTCTAGAATCTCCCATTACAATTTTTCCCAGGCGTGGCCGAACACCCTGTAGAACAAATAAATAAATTTAAATAAAATAAATTAGAGACTGTGTTTAGAGAACTTATGTAATGTTTACGATGCTGCAACAATTCAGTTTAAATTGTTTCGTCACAACACGAAGCGATCAGTCGCGAGTTCCCGGACTATGTGACGAATCCCGGGCGTGTACAATCTTGCAAATGACTGTCTCATTGTCGTATCTCCGGTATCTCTTACGTATCGAGCACGACATAATTAAATATACGCGAGAAAACTAGTGGATGGTTTATCGTACATGGAATCTAATTCGTAAGAAACACAAAGGTTTACAGTTTCTTGTAACCGAACGGCGTGATGTCATATATGTTTGTTCGGAAATTTGTGTTTGCAAGCGTGGAATTACGAAAGGTACCGACCGATTCGTTACTATGTGGCGTGTTCGATGCGAGATAAAGAAAATTTTGAACCGTTTACATAATTTAATGCGACGCTAAACATCGTACGCGAGAGGAATGAATCACGAGTTAGTTCCTAAAGCAGATCGTAGATTAAAAACAGAAATCACCGGGTACTGTGAATGACGGCGGTGGCTGTGCAATCAGGCGACACGTGCAAATTCACACGCGTCGAACAAAGGATGGAAAACACGCGTGCATGATTGCTCGTTTTTCACGGCCGAAATTACCACCGTGTTCGAACGGAACAAG